TTGCCCTGCCTTTAATTCAAAAAGTAGCATCCCATCTTGATGACAAAATATACCCATAAGATTGTGCTAATGGTGTGAATTCTGCAACCCTGGCTCATTCTGAAACTGTCGCCCCTGTCAAACCCCTCCTGTAAGATTTGTTTTTGGCTTTGTTTGTTACTGTTACTGTCACTGTAAAAATATTGTATATACACGGTTCGAAAAAGTGTGAAATCCAACACCAACTGCTTCGAACCGTGTTATATACAATATTTTTACAGTGACAGTGACAAAGTCAAAAACAAATCTTACAGGAGGGGGGAGAAACATTGGAGGGATCACAACAACACAAAAATCAAAATTACACACACCACAGATATACACAACCAACAAGTGTGGCTAACAATATGTTTACAACAACAGTTCAATTTCACAACCATACACCAACCAACTCCCTCCCCGCTCTTCCTGATCGTTCCATCTTTTAAAAGAAGCCAGACGTTACTCCAGCCAATCCCCAGTGACGTCGCAGACCTAGTTAGGGCGGGACCTGTGATGAGAGCAAAAGCGGGTGAAGAGAGAGAGAGAGACGGGGGAAACAGACACACACAGATTTTTGAATGCAACACCCTATATAAATTTTTGGAGAGGTGTGATTTTTGCAGTTTTTTGTTTTCGCGAATCAATCAGTGGCCGCTGTGTATGCTTTTTAATACCTTATATTTCTATTACGAGTAACATTCGCGCCTGCTGTTCTTGCGTAAATCCACCAGAAGCTGCTGTCGACTGACTGACTGACTAATTGATCGTCTGACTGAACCTCCTCCTTCACTAAACCCAACCAATAATATTTTCAAAAGCACCGATTGACCTGTCCACCCTCTTCCTAAAACCCAACCAACGTTTTTTAAACAGGAATCCAGAAAACAATTTTTACCATGCTTTCAGATTTTACCACGTTCTCACCCTGTTATTTACTTGTTTATTTTATTTTTGGTCTCTGTTATTGTCTTACCCACCTTCTGGAACCGTTCTTCACCTGACTCTAACCCCATCGTCATGGTCAACTTCTTTCTGCGTCTTAAGTCTGCCGACCTATATAGCGAACTACTGGACACATGGTAACAGAGGGAAAGCTATCCATACGGAGGTAACGGGTCAGCTGGTAAGCATGAAAAAGAACAGTGCATACTCCCCTATATCATAAGTTTTAAAGACGAAATGCAGCCACACTACCTCTAGCTACAAAATCAATGATCTCCAGAAATGTTTATAGGGCTACGTTTTTAGGATGAGCCTATATGTTGAAATTCTCATATGGGAGGCATGTGATAGGATGCTGTAATTGTGCCCTGAACTCCCCTAATCCCTAACCCCAACTTTAGAACCATTCAAATACAGTGTTGTTAGCATAATAAGATAGGGGTTAAAATGTCAGGACAGCGGACAACTAAACTGCTTGTCACTTGAATTTTGTTCGTCACAAGATGCTGTTAGGAAATGATTTAAGGAGTAAAGCAGGATTTGGGCCTTACTCTCACTGAAGATGCCAATAAACACACGTGAAGTATCTTGTTACACACCATAGCATCTCAGTTTTGGGAAGTTTGTGGTATTCTTGTTCTTATTTCGCTGAACTTCAGATTGATTTGCTGTCAAAACGGGGGTTGCAATTCACATCAGAGAGAAATGTCAGAGGCAGTCATTTAGTCAGACGCCCCTTCTTCCATTTTTAATCAGAGAGCATTACAGACCTCTGACAAAGACAGCAAAGCTTCAGCAAAAGCGGTCGGTGGGTGTGGAGTCCATCCCCAAAATAGAGTTGTCACAGTGTGTAGTTGGAAAACACGATAATCTTTTAATCTGCAACATGTTGCCTAATGCTATTGCTTGATGAGCAGTTTGTACTTCACAACCAGAAGAAGGCGAACAGATGGAAAGATCTTACACCAGAGCTGGATCTCATAAGGCCAGCTGAGACAAAACATGCCCAGATGGTTTGAAGAGCAGTGTCCTCACAATGCACTCAGATAGCTTATAACCAGTGTTTACAAGCAGTGTGAGGAGTGGATGAAGAAGATCCTCCATACTGTCTGTCTCTGAGCTCTGCCTCCCAGTTGGAGGCTGTCTTGTGATGGATGAGGGAGACGTGAAGCCAGTGTTTTGCCAGAGCTATGTGAAAACACTTGATGTGTATGCTCCGATTGCTCCAGGCAGCTGAGACAGGTTGATTTATTCTATGAGAGGCAGAAGCGGAGCGTGATTGGTTCTTTTCTGTAACAGGATGCTGAATTCATAGCTCAATCCTGCCCCGTTATCTCCCCGGTCATTGACTCTCATCTACTGCTCTCACAGTGCTCCCCTATACAGTTCAAGAGGTCCCTTTGGAATTAATAAGACGGAGTATTGAGGTTTCCTTTTGTAGTTCAATGAGAAAACACCTGAAATTTGAGCTTTAACTGAACAAAAGCAAATGATGGTGATGGTTTAGAGATTGTTTTTTAAATTTAATGTAAGCTTTTATTTGTTTGTTAATCTACACTAAATGTTTCGATTTAAATGCTATAATTTAGTTTAAAATGTACATACTGTCACCTGATGCATAGGTGACAATGCAAAAAACTTTAGGGAGCAAAATCAAGGCAAAAGCAGATTCTGCTTGACTTCTGTATTCAGCATTAAACTTCACTATTATAAATATGCTTGTTTGTGTTTTTATTGCAATAAGTTATCATTTAAAAAGTTATAATGCGTTAGTACGATTCAAAGTAATGTTTTTCTTTTTGTTTTTAAATATTATAAAAATGATTTAGGACATTATCCATAGCAGCTGTAATGTAAAACAGTTTAGTGTAATTATCTTTGGCCCACAGCTATCCGTGATGTTTGGTTTTTGGCCCTTTATACAAAGAATTTTAGGCACCCCTGGTCTACGGGATTCGCATGCCTATGAATGGAAATCTTTGAGGCAAAAAGTGCAGTGTGAACGGGGCTTTATTTCCTATTTTTTTGCTGTAGTAAGCTATGTTGATTACAATTCTTGGTCTGGTTTTTTCTTTACTATTATAATACAATTGTGTGGTGAATATGTCAATTTAATTACAACTAACAGTTCTTTATTACTATCAGATTGGATAAGCACAAAATAACTTTCCTTAGATATTTACTAGATTTCATCATGCTGAATAAATCATTTTCTTTTCGGCTTAGTCCCTTTATTAATCAGTGTTCGCCACAGTGGAATGAAGCACCAACTTATCCAGCACATGCTATTACGCAGTGGATGCCCTTCCAGCTGTAACCCAGCACTGGGGAACATCCATACTCTCCCACATTCACAAACATACACCACAGCCAATTTAGCTTATTTAATCCACCTATAACGCATGTCTTTGGACTGCGGGGGAAACCAGAGCATCCAGAGGAAACATACATGAAAAGTGGAACATGGAGATTTGCAGACAGGAAAGTGTTAGAAGCTGAGCTAGGGGAAGAATCTGCAAAGGACCATGAGCTGGGAATCAAACTCGGGTTGGAGCACTAATTACTAGGCTATTGGCACAGATTACAGTTGCGTTCTTATATTTCTTTTTAGACATACATGGCATTTTATATTTAAACAGCTTTCCAAACCACTTAACTTCATCACACGGCATTGCATCAATTGCTGCATTAAAAAAAAAAAACTGAGAAAACGGAGCTAGAACAAGCATAGTTGCAGGCACAGAAAAATACATGGTTGTCATAAATGTTTTTAGCAAACACATCGCAAATATTTCATTTTTAGCCTGTTCATTAATGGTTTTAATGACCTCATTTAAAGAAACTGAATGATAGCAAGTCATTTGTTCATGAACACAATAGCTCACACAGTGTTATTTATTTTAACCAGCTGGAAACACCAGCATGCAATCTATAGACATGATTAAGTGCAACCTCATAGATAGACAGCAAAACAACCAATGCCATGGGCGACTAGATTTTCATTGTAAAACCATCATCATAAATTAGTGTTGTGTAGAATTTGTGACCACTTTACATGTAGCCTGGAGCCCTTCAGATGTCCTTTTAACAAAGCAGCACTGATGACTAAAATAACTAAGAGACAAACCGAAATAGTTCAGGGCCAGTTAATTGATGTAATACGACTCCTTTTGCCCATTATTGGATTGTCTGGATTGTGATGCCTGCTTTTAAGACCTTCATAAAAAGTCAGCTGTGTCTGTGTGATAATGGCTTTATAACTTGTGAGCTGAGCCTTCTAACCTTCTGAGATCGTGGACTTCATCTAAGAAGTCTAAAATGGCCAACCCTTATGCACGCATACAAATGCAACTGCTTTTCCACCTGCGAGTTAACTGAGTTTAGCAGGGCTCCCGAGGTACCTTTCCTTTCCGCCACTTATAACACCTGACTGACTCGCAGCCTTGCACAGGAAATTACTTTGGAGAACCCAGGCTGAGGGGATTATTGAATTATGCCAGATCCGTTCCGTGAGAAGAGAGGTGGAATTATTCGCTGCCACGGCATCTACCGTCAGCTCCCGTGAAATCGCCCAGCTGTTCGGAGCTATTTTTACAGGGACCACAGCTGCAGAAGACTAGCCGAGACACTGGATGGTCATAGCCAGCAGAAAATATGAGAGTCCCTCTGTTATTATACGGAGTACTGCTCCACCTGATCTCAAGGGCCAGAATTTGAGACAGTAGTCAAAGCCACCAGAGGGAAGTGAACACAGCACCCAATGCACTAATGTAGAACTGTACCTTCATTAACCTAAATTCCCCTAATGGCCTGTAATTATAGAGAGTGCATTGTCAGCGAGGGACACTTTAGATTTTTCACAGAGGGAGCACTTACCATCAACCTTATTAGTCTAAAAAGACTAGGGGCGAAAACACCCAACAAATATCAACGTGCAGCTGAAATAGTGAGTGCAAATGCAGGGCAGGATAAAAATGGTCATTCATTTTGGGTTTCCTGATTCTAATTCGACCACTCATTATGTTGCTTTAGCACCCTCTAATAGTGTTTTTGTGCACCCTTTGTTGTCTTGCAGCACAGCAAAGGGAAATTTGCATCATTAAAGAAGCGCAGGTGATGGAGCAGCATTTGAAAACACCTGGAGCATATGAGCAGAAAAGAGCTGAGAGTGCTCAGATGAATTCATGGAGGGATCGGGGCACACAGCTTGCGGTCTGGAGTGCTGAAAGGACATGTTTATTTAGCTGGCTGTGTGTCGGTCTTGGTGTGAAGATGAGCAAATGTACTCCAGCAGTCCTGCTGGTGTTTTTAAACCAAGCTGCCCGTTTTCACTACTCCTCCTCCATATTTCCCTTTGCAAACAACTCACCGTGTAGGTCGAGTCAGCATGTGACATGCATGACCAGTCAGTGTGAAATGTTTTTATCGAGAAAAATTTGCGAATTCTGTTTTACGTCCATCTTTGTGTCGCATTTCCAGGCATATGATTACAGGAGCTGCCAGTCATTCTCCGAGCTACATAATGCAACATTATTCATCTGGAACGCCTCAACACAATATGTCAGTCAATGTGCGTTTTGTCAATGCCAGTGTATTATTTAAGTGACAAAATTACTAAATGATCTGACTTATCGAGCTTAAAACACAAAAGCCCTCAAGTCACTGACTCACAGAATCATCTTTAAACGGATCATGTGACCTTTGCGAGTAACAGCTCTTTTTGTTTGTCACGATGCTTTTGCAGGGGCAGGGAGAAGCTTCAGCAAGAGGCACAAGCATGGAGGGGGACTGTCTGAGCTGTATCAAGTACCTCATGTTCATCTTCAACTTCTTCATATTTGTGAGTGCTCTCTTTCTTTTACTTTCACTTGAAACACTCAAGGGCTTTGAAAACGTTAACCCTGGGTCTTTTGAAAGCCTGAGTAAACACAATCTTCTTCACTAGAAACACATACTATCGATCGTGACTATGTCTTGAATAAAATATTATAAACTGACGCTGAAGTTTGTCTCCTAAATAGAGTATTAGAGCTATTAAGGTAGGAACTGGTCTCTTCTTCAGGACGTCTGTTGGCAATTGGCTGTTTGACATTATCCCACTCAAATGCTGAAATTACAGTTGATATTTTCAGGGTTTTGTAACTGTTCAAAGTATGTGGATATGAAGCACATGATTAGTTATGCATTTAGTCGTAACACTCTAACATCACATTTTCAAACTACACTCTTTTGGCACTGCACTGAAGGTTTACCACACAAAATAGTTTCAATTAAAAAGCTGTAAAAAAAATTAAAGTTAAAAGCTTTAGACATAGGCTGCGTCCAAAACCGCCTACTACTCAGTAGGTACTGCATTTGAGTTTATACATACTACTCAGCCATTAGAAAAGTACGTTCTATAAAGTATGAATGTGAAAAGTATGAATGGAATTCGGACGTACTACATCCGCCATTTTGTCAAGGTCACGCGACCCACCTGCGTCAATTGTGTCGCTTCACTCCCATTCATGAATTCGCTCATGGGGCATCATGGGATAGCGCAGCGTGCATGAAATGCGCACTCCAGAATCTCACCGGAACTAGTAAGTCATCCGAGTACTTCTCGCATACTGATTTTCAAATTCTATGAATTTGGACATACTACTTGGCTCGCATACTGATTTTAGCGTTCTGTATAGTATGGAAGGTTTCGGACGCTGCCATACACTTATGGCCCATTTCCACTGACTTGTACAGTTTGGTACGTGTCACCTTTATCAGGCTTGCATTTCCACTGCCAAAAGGGTACCAATGGTGGGCGTGGTGTAAGTCAGAAAGTTTCAGTCAACGTCATTTTCGCTCAAGGAAATGTCTACAGTAAAGCTGTATGGGTTGTTCACATATCATATGAGAAGCACTTTTCACAAAACAGACGCTTTATACACATAAATACTTGTGTATAAATGTTCATGACTAACCTTTCTATGAACATAATTTGATTATAACTGCAGATCAATGATTGTGTAAATAAATAAATAAATGCAACATATATGTACACATACAGACCCTTACACTCTTCGATATGTTACCGATTACAGAAAAACTACACACATCATACATTTAGTCTTATTTGGCTTCAAAAACAACATGCAATATATAGCTCACAGTCAGTGAAAACCTCTCATCTTAATCATTAATCTTCACCAGCACATGTAGTCTCTTTCAGAAAGTATTTCCGTCATTCCGAGTTCATAAGAGTCCAAAAGGTGATGATAATAGTTAAACATGGCAATTTGTTCATGTTTTAGTTTGCTGAAAAATAATTTGTATCTTCGCACTTTACTAGTTTGTCCATTTCTGAAAGGATCGGATGTCAGAGCACATCAATAATCATGCGTACATTATTATTATCAGCTCAAAAAGTTAATTATTTTAAATATAGACGCGATGGCGAGCTCTTTGGAGAAAGTGAAACCGCTTGCAATCATTAAGTCCGCCCCTGGGTAACAAAAGGCAAAGAGCTTAGAATCACCGAGAGGTGACACTGTTGTGCGATTTGGGAAACAACCACTAGATGGCGTGGTGGCCATTTTGAAATGAAAACTCTAATAGAACAACAGCATATTGTAAGTCTGTAAAATAAACTATTAAAAGTGCTGATGATTGTCATAGTAAGTGCTGTATTGTCGTCTTTTAGGTTGTATCTCAGCTTTAATGTACTTTTTAAATAAATAAATAAATAAAAAACAAAACAGCTGCTTGCCATCGCGACAGCAATAAGATTCAATAGACAGCCGATCGCTTTCACTCCAAAATAGTGGAATCCAGGGCTGTTTCTGGGCACTACTGTTGCAATGGAACGTTCTATTGCATGTCATTTCTTTGTCATTTTAAGCTCTTTGACAAGGGTAAAAACAGACAGCAACAAAATTCAAACAATAACAAAAAAGTGTAAATTAAATAAGGACGTACAATATCGACGAACTGGGATATCAAAACAATTGAAAATACTAGCAAAAAGCACAAACGCAAGCCATCAAAGAGATCTAAAAGACTGTCAAATTGCTGAACTGAAGATTTTTTAAAGAAGAGGTGGCATTAGAGGATTGGGGGAAAATGAATCAGAGTTTCAAAGCAGTAGCCAATCAGAATGAAGCAGTAATGGGATTGGTTACAGCAGTGAAAAGTGAACCAGCCAACCAGGGACAGCAGTGGGCAGAATAAATAATGAAGTGAACTAGGGTGGTAGAAAGAAAAACACAATAAGACACACAAAAAATAATTATGTGTTGGCACGTAACAAGGAGGAAGTGACAAACTTTGGATTTTTATATCAGTTTTTATATATTCTAAACACAAATTTTGGCACTGTTTTGAAGCACTCTAGCTAATAGATATCCCTAAAACTTAAAGTGATACTTACATCTAAAAAAGACTTATTTTCATTTTACAGGACTTTTAATGTATCTGTATTTAATGTTTTAAAACCAGTTTTTAATGATATTCAGGTGCAGTCTTGCCTTCCTGTCACAATATACAGTTCAAAAGAGTCTGAGGGATTCAAGTTGCCACTCTAAACAAACTGTAAACAAGCGGACTGATCTGGTGCCAGCATGCCTTCGCTTTGCTCATGAACCACACTGAACTTCCTTTGTTCCTCAAAGGTGTTTAGATGGCAGCCTTGTGAACTTCCCACTGCCACACTAGTGCTGTGGGAAAATGAGCTCATATGAGAAGCCGTATTTTGCATTTTTATCATGCTGTACTAAGCCACGTTCACCTCCTTCAGCTTGGAGGTTCTTTCCTTCTAGGGGTGGGAATCTGGGTGCTGGTGGATCCAACTGGTTTTCGGGAGATTGTGGCCGCCAACTCTCTGCTGTTCACTGGAGTCTATGCAATTCTGATCATGGGCGGGATGCTGTTCCTACTGGGATTTCTGGGCTGCTGTGGAGCCATTCGTGAAAATAAATGCCTTCTATTGTTTGTATGGGATTTTATTTCTTTCTGGATATACTGTATACATTATTGTTTTCATTCGTTATGCAATGTACAGTGCTCAGCATATATAAGTACACCCCTCACAAATCTATCTTTTAAATTTATATTTTTAATAGGAAGTTATGCAATATTATATTTGTGCATATTCATTAGATTAATCAGTACTTAAGCCAAATCTGGAGCGTATCTAACAAAATAACTTACGACTAAAAACTAATACACCCAAATTAATATGGTTTAGAAAAATATTAAATACAAATTGAATAAAAGAGGAAAAATCAAGAAAAGCAAAAAAAAATTTTTTGTTGAAAATTTTGTAGGTTGTATTTGTTTTTTGCAATTTTTTACTTGAATTTAGTTGTATTATCTTTCAATTTCTAAACACGTTTGGTGACTAAAAAATTATTTTAATAAGTATATCTGTTTAATAAATCTGTTTTGTTTAAACCCACCAAAACACTGCCTATATTTACTGAGAAATGGATTAAACATTCATTTTCGAAATGGGGTGTACTCAGTTATGCTGAGCACTGTATTTTGGTTAATATTGGATTGTTGTCAATGTTCACATTAATTACCATCAAAAGCCAATGTATGTAATGCTTAATAACACTTAAAAAAATTTAGCTTTATTTTATTTAAATTAATTGATATTTAAAGTTTTGCATTATTAAAAATTAACATGAAAATATGAATCTTATCATTAGCAATAGCAATCCTTATTTTGCAGCACAAATTAATGTGTACAATACTTAACACATTTTTTTAACAGTGTTTTATTTTAATTTATTTAGACAAGGGTATAAATAATTTCGGGCTTGACAGTATGGTTGTATGAATAATTTTGGACTTGACTTAAAAATAAAAGTTTCTTAATATCACCTAAAATTGATATCACATTTTTTCATCCCTCTTTAGTATCAGACGCAATATTTGTTGAACATGTAGACACCTGATCTACCATAAAAAGCGATAGGCATTATGATGCATGTATTTCAAATACGTATTTCAAATATTTCATCATTTTAGAATTATATGGTTCGAAATTGAGTTATTGACAAATTCTTTTTAAATGACAACTTATTTACATTATGGGATGTTTTTTATTATAAGTTATAAGTACATTTTAAGACATTTTATTTAAAAAACAAATGTTACACACATACTGTTTGCTATACGGATTGCAAAAACTTTGAAGCTCAATATCATTCAGAACGCAGATAAAACCTTGTAATTCCAAGGTGATGATTTGTATGAATTATAGGGTTGATGAAAATGGCTTAAAATTTGGATCAAAAACCTTTAGTGTCTTGTATTTTTGTATTGAAAATATTGTAAATTCTTTGCAGTCATGTTTTTACATTGAGTATAGAATAGTTTAAATACAAAAAAAGAAAAAAAACAATTATGACAAATTCTGTGAACAAAAAAAAAATGAAAATGAACTCTAAATATAAGCTTATCACCCTTTTAAATCTAAGATTGTTAATAAGTTGAATAATCATTAAACAGAGATGATGAGAATTTTACAGGCCACACAATGGGTGGAAACATAATCAACAGATATGGTACTATGTTCAGACTATCTGCATTAAATGGTTTAAACCATAGGATATTTATCTTCAAGATAAGACTTTATGTATGAAATTATTATGTGCAAAATGTATACTAAACTCTAGGAGAAACACAAGTTACAAGTCCAACTCCCTAAACATTAGGCCACAACTTCCTTTGACATGAACAAAATGGCAGAGAAAAGTTGTTGTTATAAACATTGTTTACTGTGTCAGTTTATTGTTGAAGGGATTGATCGACCAGGCCCATTGATAGAAGGATAGCGAAGAAATTTCATTCTCCCTTTCAAAATATTTTGTAGTATTTGTAAAATACAAAAACACAGTGTTTTATTTTGATACATTTGTGGCTGCTGTATTTTGTCGTTCTTTTGATCGACTTAAAATTGATGTACATTTCAGTGTATTTTTGCCCACCCCTGACTATAAATTTGATTCCAACGCAAGCATGTGAGAAACTTGTTTTTCCTCCACAGTTCTTCATGCTCATTCTGGTCATATTCCTGGCAGAGCTGGCGGTGGCCATTCTGGCATTTATTTTCCGGGAGCATGTGAGTATTATTATAGCTGGATATGATCAAGCCACCTGTAATATGCCACTGCTCTCACTCTGCTTTTCTATCTGTGGATCAACAGCTCACCAGAGATTACTTCACCAAGGAGCTGAAAACACACTATCAAGGCACCAACAGCACCGATGTCTTCACTTCCACATGGAACGCCATTATGACCACGGTATGATAATATGCTCCATGACTCTGTCCATACTGCAGTACACAATCCACTGGGTTAAGTTGTGATGTATGGAATATTGTTTCCCGGGTTTAGACCTCTACTCCTCTCAATAGTGCGCATAACTGAGTAGGATAAACATTTTATTCTTTTTAAGAAAAAATGCGTGTAAACTACCATGGAAACACCGAATAAATTCCAGTATATGCATTTAAAAAGTCATGTGATTTTGTTATAAGAGATTATCTGATGCTAAAAATCGGTGCCATAGTCACTATTTATGGACAAACCAGTGGTGCGAGGACATTGTAAAACACCTGAAATGTTGTTTTGTTCATTCTAAAACATTATATTTTTAATTGCCTCTAGACCAGGGGTGTCAAACTCAATTCCTGGAGGGCCGAAGCCCTGCACAGTTTATTTCCAACCCTGCTCCAACACACTTACCTGTAGGTTTCAAAAAAGCCTGGAGGACTCAATTAGTTTGATCAGGTGTGTTTAATTAGGGTTGGAACTAAACTGTGCAGAGCTGCGGCCCTTTTGGAACTGAGTTTGACACCTGTGCTCTAGACTGTCTTGAGCATTTGTGCTCTGCATCTTACATCTCCAAATGTCACCATGTGTTCATTTACCTGTTGGCATTGTCGTCTGTGGCATAAATAATTTATAATATTAAAAAAGAAAATTCAGGTTTTTTGGTTGGATATTTGGTGCCAGTTTAACAGGAAGTGATGATTTTTTACGTGGCCAAGAGATCTTAACATGTTGTAGTTTAAGAAAGCACATGCAGTTACAAAAAACACCAGCAAATTAAGAAAACATGTTCAACTGTTTGACAACAAACGTGTTGCAAATCCTCACAATGCAATCACATTAAGAAAACGTGATTCAAATACTCACAACACAAACAAAGTTAATCAAACGCTCTGCAATTTCTCGCAACACATGCAAATAGCACAAAACACAATGGAAACGTTTCAAGGGGACCCAAAAACGTGACAAACCTGGCTGGGATTTGCTTATTGTGCCATGACTATTGCTCAGTGAAGTTGTAGGTGATCTTTGAAAGATCTTTTTTTGTTTGTTTGTTTATTTTACCATCCTGATTACACGATTCCCTGGTCTTTTGTAAATTATTAGCCTAATTAAAAATAAACCTAAAAAGATGGGTCTGTCAAGTTTTTGGGTTCCCTTAAAATGTTTTTGTTGTGTTCAGTGCTATTTGCATGTGTTGTGAGAAATTGAAGCACATTTTCTGCATTTGTTTTTTGTGTGTTTTCTTAAATTGCAGCACGTTATGCTTTTCCAACCACCGTGATTTTGTTCTCTTTGACTCATTGGATGGAATCACTGCATTATGTGCAAATCCAGATATTCCTGTTTTTTGCATAAATTTAATATGCATCTTTGGATTGAACATGGCTAGTGGCATTCATAGTAGAAGGTCAATGGCTATACCATTTTCCAACATTCTTCAAAATGTGTTCTTGTACATTCAAGAGAAAAAAGAAAGCTCTAATATGTTCTAAAGTGAGAACTGCTCCTTTAAAGAGAATGTTTTGTGCATTGCAATCACTGGACTTGCTGCATCCAATACGTTAAATATTTATAAAAGATGAATCACTGTCTGCCCATCTGAGATTGTCCATGGATATAAACATTACAGTTATGATTTTCAATAGTATCACATTTTACCATTACCATCTTTTTGTAGCTTTTGACTTCTGAAAAAGTGTTTGGACCCAGAAATGTGACGCATGATGACAGACTTAACAAGTGGGAAAAAGTATGATGCTAATAAATAATGCTGTATTGCTGTCTCTATAGTTCAATTGCTGTGGGGTGAACAGCGCTGAAGACTTTGATGATCAGAGTCTGTTCAGACGGCTCAACCCTAGCAGAATAGTGCCGGAGGTCTGTTGCCAGAGAACCGATCTGATGATGAGCAAGGAGGAGTGTCTGAGGGGAATTATGCCAATCCGGAACAAGGTCAGCAATGACTCTACAAATTAGTAGGTGAAATCAGATGAACGGCGAAATAAAATAATGCAAATGTGTTTTTAATTGAGAAGAAGAGTGGTCACTGTGTTTGCATAATAGCTTTCATAATGAAAGAGATATACAGTAGATGGGTCAACGATGAGACATTTTGGTGTTTGCATCTAATCGAAATCAAAGTTAGATAGAAATCTTTTTAGATACAAGAGTTTATAACATTTGTGAAATAGAATGTCCATCACACACACACACACCCCACACATAGTTAACACAATAAATTTTATTATATTTCTAATGATTAAAAACTTATTGCTGGCAAATGGGTACTAATATGGGTAGGCAGTATTTAGGATACATGTATTTCAAATGCGTATTTTAAATAAAAAATTGTATTTTGTAATTTGTATTTGATAGGGTTTATGAAAATAGCTGAATATTTTGTATCAAAACACTTTAGTGTCTTGTATTTTTGTATTTGTAAAATACTGTAAAATACTTTGTTAGAAATCTACATCAAGACATCATATACAGTTGAAGTCAGAATTATTAGCCCCCTTTGAATATTTTTCTTTTTTTAATGTTTCCCAAATGATGTTTGACTGAGCAAGGAAATGTTCATGTATGTCGATCATATTTTTTCTTCTGGAGAAAGTCTTATTTGTTTTATTTCGGCTAGAATAAAAGCAGTTTTTAATTTTTAGAAAACATTTTAATGTGAAAATTATCATTGTATAGAAGTGTCTTTATTATTTACTGTCATCATGGCAAATATAAATAAATCAGTTATTAGAAATGAGTTATTAAAACTATTATGTTTAGAAATGTGTTGAAAAAAAATAGGGAAAAAATAAACAGGGGGGCTAATAATTCTGACTTCAACTGTAAATGCACTGCTGATTGGTGCTTTGGATGTTATTGACTCTTTCATTTAAAAAAGATTTGAAAAAAACTTAGGAGAAAGTGTATGCTGTAATAATTATAGTAGTTTTGGATGAATTGCTGTTGCCAAATGTTTGTCGTTAAAACAAACAACATACAAATAAGTCTTACAGTGGCAATTCCCACAGTAGTTCATTGGCTGTTTCTAATCCCAGTAGTTAATCAGTTGGTGCACTGTATAGTTAATGAAGCCTTAAGATGTGACATGAAACACAAATATTTGATCATCAAAAACTCCTAATAACAGTTTTAACATTGAGTATTGAAGAGTTCAACAGCAAAACAAATAGATTTCTGAAAAATTCTGTGAAAAGTTATATGAACTTTTTATTTAACACTCTTATAATATTAAGAGGTTGAATAACATTGTACAGAGGTGATGGTAATATTTCTGGTCACGTTTGTTATCAAATATTGTTTACTTTACCAAGTCAGTTTAATGGGGAAGGGCTTGATCCAATAGGTCTATTGATGGAAGATTTGCAAAGAAATGTTATGCTTTTTTGTAAAAGTTTTTTGTAGTCTTTTAGAAACACAAAATACTCTATTTTTACATTGATACACGTTGTGACTGTTGTATTTTGTAGTTTATTTTGATACACCTAAACTTAGTATTTGGCATTTTATTTTAAAAAAAAATTCAATGTATTTTTGCCCATCCCTAAGTACAAATACTAATTTAAAGAACAGTGGCAATGAATTGAGATTTAAAATAACAATTCATTAGCATTTTAATATATCGTCTAATGATTCATGCTTTAAAATTAGCAATAATTTGGTATTTAACCTGGGGCAGCACAGTGGCTCAGTGGTTAGCGTTGTTCCCTGTGTTGGCTTGGGTTTCCTCTGGGTGCTCCAGCTTCCCCCACAGTCCTAAGACATGCACTGTAGGTGAATTGAACAAACTAAATTGGCCCGTAGTGTATGTGTATGAATGTGAGTGTGTATAGGTGTGAGTGTGTATGGGTGCATAAAAAATATGCTGGATAAGTTGGTTCATTCCACTGTGGTGACTCTTGATATATATATAAAAGGACTAAGCCAAAGGAAAATTGATGAATGAATAATATTTAACCTACTGTTAGACTGAATAACACTCTTCTGTAAATCGTGTATTTAGTGTTCAATCATTATTTTGTGTACAGAAAACAAGACTTACAATAATGTATCCAAATATTAAACAATATAAATATAACATTTATTGTTTTGATGCTTGAAAACCACTTTTCATCTTTGACTCATACACTTTCTCCAATATAGATACAGGAATTATAACTGGTTAAGAAATGAATAACTTTGAGTAGCTTGTAATAAATTAAAAATGCAATATCTGTTTGTTTTCTCATAATAAAATCCTCTTTGAAACAGGGCTGTTACTCGGCAGTGGTGGACTATTTTGAGACGTACATCTATATGGCTGGAGCACTTGCAATCGTGGTCCTGACAATTGAAGTAAGGTTATGAGTTTTTGCTTTTTAATATAAAAGGCAAACTATGACGTGAGAATGTAGATCTAAAAAATAATGATAAATCGTTTCGCAAGAAGAATAGTTTGTGAGCACCACCTAGTGGAGAGAGCAAGAGTAGCTTGGCTGTGAAGCTGGGAGTAAACGAACTGTTTGGTTAGTTTAGACCAGGGGTTCTCAAACTCAGTCCTGAGGTCCTATGTCCTGCAGATTTATACTCCAACTTGCCTCAACACACCTGCAAGGATGTTTCCAGAAAGCCTAAGAGCTTGATTAGCCAGCACAGATGTGTCTGATTGGGGTTACAGCTAAAATCTGCAGGACACCGGAGCTTCAGGACTGAGATTGAGAACCCCTGGTTTAGACTATAAATATTTCCCCAACAACACATTAATATCAGAGCATTATTAGACTGTTAATTAATGAGTTAGTTGGCATTTACTTGTAAGCTACTTGTAATTAGCAGAATAACTAAAGGGGACCATCATCCGAATAAAGTGTTAGCAACAATTATGCTACTAATTCCGAGTGCTAGTTCACATTTAGTTGCATTGTTACATGTAGTTAACAGGAAAGCTAAAGGGGACCATAAATGAGCATTGACGGGTTAAGCAGACAGTCAAAAAATACTTTGAATTAAGATTTTGCAAGACAATCATTTATTATTATTATTATTATTATTATTATTATTATTATTATTATTATTATTATTAATATTAATAATAATAATAATAGTAGTAGTAGTAGTAGTAGTATCATTGTTTTATAGATGGCATGTAGCTGCACATTTAATTCAGTTCAGTTTCAGTTTCCTTTATTTTTGTCATTCAAAACATCACAATAATTTGTAATGCAGAACGAAATTGTTACATCGGACCCAACAAAACATCAAAAATACTTTAAAAACCTAACATAAGCTTTGTAATTTTATAAATATATAAAAATATAGTTTTAAAATATAATATATATATATATATTATGTGATTTAATTATATTATATAAATAAATCACAGAAGGGAATAAATACATAATTGAATAACTATTGAACAGTTTGTTATAATGGCTAAAATATTGTAAATATGTGCTAGTTTAACTTTTTATACATTTACTGTTACGTACTAGTAATCAAAAGTATTTAAAATATGCTTTTATTTAAAAGTCTTATAATGACAGGATAAAAATTGCACAACTGCACTGATTTGCTCCTCAGGCTTTGGTAAGACCTGCCTGATGGTATAAGCGTGAGCAGACTATGGCCAGGATGGGTTGGATCCCTTAAAATGCTATTTGCCCTATAGACAAACATCGTTGTTGAAACAGTTCCTTAATAGATGTAATTTGGACTCCAACAGACCTTTCGACCACTTGTAGCCAACTGAGTAATTGTAAAAACTATATCGAGCAATTTTAGTTAGCTGATAAATTGTAAAAACTATTTCAAGCAATTTTAGTTAGCTGATAAAATGTAAAAACTATTTTTTTTAGAATTGTAGTTAACTGAATGTTAAAAGAGGAGCATCACTTTAAATTGTTACTGTATTTTTGCAACTCTAATGTAGTTGTTACTATGTTTGCATTGAACTAACTTTTATTTGTTCTTTCTCTCTTCTCAGCTGTTTGCCATGGTGTTTGCTATGTGTTTGTTTCGGGGAATCCAGTAATCTTTACATGCTGTATATAAAGATATTCTGAGGAGGAAGAACATGGTATGGCACGGAAGACGGTTTTTAAACAAGAAAACACTTATATATTTGCCATCTCTATGTATATTGTTGTGTTGGAATATCTGAGAATTGCCAAAAATTTGTCAATTGTACTTCACAGCTGGGACTCTGAGGTACTCATTTGTGAAAAACAAAAGCAAAACTCATTAGTTAATTAAGAGTTGTATCTATGGCAGTCATTTACGCTCAACAGAGGGACACCTTGCACTGATATTTGGTTGAATATTTATAGATGAGAAAAGACTGATTTGTACCTCTTATCTACAGTAGATTATTCACCACTGCTCCGGAGCCATGCTTACGAAATACACTGTGCAAATGGAAGAGTGTCTGTGAAACAGAGACGTTTGATTTATGTGTGTGTGTTTGTGTTTCTGTAAAAAAATCTGAGAGGCCAGCAGCTTCTATAAAGTAATGTTTTTTTGTGAGTTGCAACCTTGAATATTTTGTGATTTTACCAAAACTGTGCTGTAATTGTGTTGTATATTGTACATGACATTGAATGATATTAAAATAAAAAAGAAAATCCTGATTGTGTATTCAAATAGTTTTTCTGTGTTCATTCATTTATTCAAATCAAGCAGACGAGAGAAAAAAACTGTCGTGACAAGGTGGCCAAACTGAACCAGGAGGTAAGAATCTTGATGTTCTTATCATTTACAGCGAAATGCATCATGAAATAATATCTAGGATTTTAAAACAAATCTTTGCGGAAAAGAGGATTTACAGTTGAAATACACAGAAAATGCAGCATCAGTGGAAACATCAGGCCAGTGCATTGATTTGTTTCAATGCAAAAAACACACAGGTAAAAAACAAAGTGCCTTAATCTCAGTTTGATTATTTTCTTATGTACTTGCAGGTGAGATATATGAGGCCACAACAGGAACCACGTGATGTATGGAAGGATAAATTAAATCTCACTTGAGTTTCTTATGATGCTTTAGTATGTTGAACAAGCTTGTCATTAGATTTACTGCCAGAGTATATATATTTTTTTAAATAAGTGCTAATAATCTCCTGACCACTGAGTGCATCAACATGTTCAGTGATTTGATTTGTATTTGCTTGATGACCTGTAATTATTTTCTGAGTGCTAACAGCTTATTTAATTTTGTTTTCATGCTCGACAAGCAGAAAAATCACCAGTAAATAAGTAAGCTATTTATAATACTGCTATTTATACTTGTTACTTGCCTTAAGTGGTAGATTGGAGATAGAGCTGCTTTTGTAATCTGTAGTTTTATCAATTCAGGTCATGCGCACTTTCATAATGAGGTGGGAAAGTTCAATGAGATCTATCAGAAATGGGAACCAAGATTTATAAATACTTATTTAACAGATGTCTAACGACTAATGTCTGCAGGGACAGAGAATCCAACAATGTGAGAAGCCCAAAATTATTAGCATCCAGTTTATTGACAGATATACCTTTTCTATACCCTAAAGTACATCCAGTTTTCAATTGGGGTCTTGCTAAGCATAAATGATGTGACTTGTAAATATTGCCAAGAACAGTAGATTTATATAAAACATTCTTTATTGCAGCTCAGTAGGCATGTTAAAAAAAGAGTGGCAGATAATCCTGATATATAATCATAAATATTTAAAGAAGTTCACCTATTCAGCCCTCTTACAAATACTATACAATACAATAAATGTTCACAGTATTCAAAAAACAGTGGGTGAAACATACCTGCGATGGCTACTTACAATGTTTGACCATACCATGAGGCCACGGTATATTTTGTGAAAGTTCATGATAATGACAACATGATGGGCACACTTTCAAATTCTATTTGTTTTAGTTCTATTTATATTATATTGAACATATTGAACACTTTTCTAATGGTTGTTAATTGAGTCCAAATTTGATATATTTTATCAGTATTCCCAATTAGACAGTAGTGATTTTGAATGCACTGGCTGGGTAGGGGGTAGGCCACACTGAATGATAAATAAAACAAAAACGTTGGTTGCAATTTAAATCGCGCATTTAACTGAGAGCTTAAAACTTAAAGAACTAACACACAGTGAAATTTCAAATAAATAAACTGGTGATAATACAATACAGGCAATGTCTCTCATTTGACTGAGAACTGAATGTTAAGAACTGAAACAAGCACTTTTCTGCATACTCAACAAACTAATCCCATTCTGCACCAACTACATGGAATTCATCTGGGTTAATGCTTTTGGTCCAAACATTTTGCTTCTGCCCCGTGTTTTCTTTGATTTTCTCTCTACATTGCTTTCGTCTTTTCTCAGCCTCAGATAAATTCCCGAGAGCCGGGTGATCTGGATTGGCACCCAAAGCAGCTTGCTTTCTTCTGAAATGTAGATTTCATGTGTGGTTATTGACATAACCTATTAACATTATAACATATAGATTTAAATATAATTGCTGACTTGGATATAAATTCTGTTGTTAATTATGACATACTGGTGATAATACAGCATATGTCTCTTATTTGACTAAGAACTGGATGTTAAGAACCGAAACATGCAAGTTCTGCCTCAACAAACTAATCTCATTCTGCACAAGCTAATGTGGAATCTCTCGGGTTATTGTTTTTGGTCCAAACATCTTTGCTTCTGCCCTGTTTTCTTTGATTTTCTCTCTATTCCCTGCTGAAAAATCCAGCTCAAACCAGCCTAGGCTGGTTGGCTGGTTTTAGCTGGTTGACCAGCCTGGTTTTAGAGGGGTTTTGGCCATTTCCAGGCTGGTTTCCAGCCATTTCCAGCCTAGTCGACCAGCCTGGTTTAAGCTGGACATAGCTGGTTTTGGTTGGACTCCCAGCTTGGCTAGGCTGGTCAAGCTGGTTTTAGCTAGTCATCTCCTAGCCTGACCAACTAAGACCAGGCTGGAAATGAATGGAAACCAGCCTGGAAGTGGCCAAAACCCCTCTAAAACCAGGCTGGTCGACCAGCTAAAACCAGCCAACCAGCCTGGTTTAAGCTGGATTTTTCAGCAGGGTTGTTTTCGTCTTTTCTCAGCCTCAGATAAATTCCTTATGGATGATTGGCGCCCAAAGCAGCTTGCTTTCTCTTCTGCTAGCTGAAATGTAGATTTCGATGCTTATGACATATAACCTATTAACATTATAATAGACATAAATATAATTGGTGACATGGATATAAATTGTGTTAATAATTATGATCACTTGTGCCAACAAAAATGAAATATTTCCTAAGTATTTTTGGTGGAGATTTGCCTTAATGTCTTCCTCGCTATTGAGAATTGCAATCCTCAATACCCTTTCCGTCTCCTTGCTTATGAGTGCCGCTTTAGCTACTGCATTAACCTTTTGCCGATGCCTAGCAACCCTGCCTTTGTTTGCAGACATCTAAATAAATCAATAACACAAATCGTTATTGTTATGGACTGTTATTTATCATTGATGTAAAGTGGAGAAGGGCTTAAATAGGAATATGCTTTTTCCTATTCTTTTTCTGGAAATTTATTAGTTAAATTTGTTTTGCATAGTCATATTAGGCTATTTGCTTTGGTTCACAATTAAATTTGCTTAAGTCAATAACGCAAATAATACTTATAAATACTAAATTCCATTAAAATATTTTAAATTAAATGTAAATACGGTGTGAATATTGTAACATATACATTTACTGTACAATGTCATTCAGTGTAACGGATGACACTGTGGTGAAAACGCCAACCTTATTTCACCAAGTAGGACAAGTTTTAGGATTGACATCTATGTTGATCCTAGGATGTTTACTGTATGGGATATGTTGACTGTATATGTCAAGTTTTCAAGACTTCAAGGTTTATGCACTTCTACATGATTGCTATCCAATTATTATTCCTCTCTGATTTTGGGAGTATTTTACAGTTATGGTTGGGTTTAGAAATAGAAAGTAGGATTATTTTTTTGAACAAAAAATTTGTTTCAGGATCAACATAGATGTTAATACAGGATCACATCGTATTTGCCAAAATCTTGACGTGCATGGTGAAAACACTGGAGATTTTGTATTACACAGAATGACAAATAAATTACCCTGAATGACTTTGGCTTAAATTGCAGGATATCAAGGCCAAATATATTAAACCATGCTCTTGACAAATAAAGATAACACAATTACTAACAATAATCATATAATAATAATAATATATTTATTAATCAACAATGACTTATTTAAAATAAAATCATCAATAAAGTTGTTTTTGTGAGTTTACTCAAGTATGTTGTATTATACTTCTCTAGTTTCTCACACTGTGACATATTTAAAAGCAGTAAACTCACCTTCTGTAGCACCACACTGTCCTCATGGTGCCCTCTGATGATGTCGGTTTTATAATGATTTCAAAATGCCCTCTAGATGCTGTTACTATGAAAGAACTCTAACAAACCGAATATCTGGGCCAAAAGTACCCTGGTTATTTCAATGCATTAGAAAAACAATACCACTTAGTTTTAATGTAATACAGCAAACACTTTGTACATTACAAAAACATAGATATTTTAGTGTATTATTTATATTTATTTAATGCAAAATCAAAGTTTGGACCTTTACATTGAATGCCATTTTTTGCAGGTTAAAACATTTCATTCATATTTGACATCATAAGTCATTTAAAACAGCAGTCTACACTTAGATCTAAGAATTTCAGTGTATATAAAATCACTTCTGTAGATTTCATTTGATGTGGTCACAAAAATGTGACATATAGCACTTGATCCATATAAAGCTGCAGTTCCATCCTGTTCAGTTTAAATACATTTCACAATACCTTTGACTAATCACTAATTTCCAAAAACTGCAGTAATTAACCGCATAGAAAACTAAGAATCTTCTCATTTATCAGTTTTCACAACTGATCTGAACTAAGGAAATATTTATTCAAACATCAAAAAAGTTTAAAGGGTACACATCATTCCTTCTGATGATTCATATTCAAAAGTCCACAGTTACGCTTACATCCAACTTTCTGTCCAACAACTGTATTTCCTTCTCCACCTTTTGCATTTTCAAGGCTCTGTATGCCATTTCCTGCTTTCTGTTGTTGATCTCTGTTTGGAGATACTTCTTATATAAAGTCTTAACATCTTCCACAGGTTCCTTTAAAAAGAGAGCATTAGTTATTATTTATTTACTAATCAGCAATATTCAATGATTTTAAAATTAAACAGCAGCAAACTCACAGAGTCCTGCTCTTCATCTGATAACGGTGGTTGAATCAGGGTGATTCCATGCTCAATCACTGAAATGAGGTTGTGTCAATGATGTATATTTACAGCAGGGTCAATTAATGAAGACAACTGAAGGTTGTGGTGCACATATACCTTTGACATAACTGCTGCAGCCAGGCATATCAGGCATATCTCCTGGATCAGAGCTGCAGCCACCAACTATGCTCTCTATGATAGGACCGTCCACATTGTTCTCTATTGGTGGCTCCTCTTCATCTATGTACTCCTCTTTTGTTTGGACCAATCCCATCTTCTTCAATGCAGCCTTTCTCTTGTTTGCTAAATTATACGTATTCATGGAGTTAATAATAAAAACAAACATTTAAAGCTCTTAATTTTTATTAAATTAAAAGAGGCCCACTAGGGGGTGCTAAAGGTCTACAAAAGATTGCACAGAAAAACAAGGAAAAGGTTGATGATAATAATTTTAAAGTAACTGCCATCTCTACCAAATGGTTGACTAAGTTTTGACTCTTTTAAATAATGAATGTCATTTAAAGAATGACTGTCCTAAATAATGGCTTGCACTTTACAGCATTGTAGGTTTATAAAAAAAATCAAACAAACATAATCCTGTTGCACTACACATTGGTTTTATTGTACAAAAAAAAAGAAAGAAAAACAATAGTTATCAGTGTTATTATTACGGTTGCCCTTTTTTCTTTTTACTGTTAATATTACTATCATTACATTACTTTCTTGTCTCTCACCATTGATTGGTCTCTTTCTATCTATGTTTTATTTCTAAGTTATTTGCTTAATTTACTGACTGTTATGCATGCTGTTTTATGATATGTATCTTTTATTTTCTTTTTCTCTTATGTGTGTACTCTGACATGTTCACCTGTTTACCTTTACATGCACTCACGCACACATACTGTACATGCAAACACGTGCACCTGAGAGTATTGATGTTGTTTTTTTTGTTTTTTCATCTTTTTTTTGTTGTTGTTTTGTTCTCTTTGTATGTGCTCCTAATGTATGTACCTCTTGCATACCCCTATGAGAATCTGAAATATTTAAAGGCATACTTTAAAATAAATTATGATTTAGTATTCAATTTGTTTTATATTGATTATATTTTTAAATAAAATGGTCTTACACTTCAAATTTTCAGATTTCTCACAGTATATGTATTAATTCCTGGTACTTTTACCATAAACCGACATTTTAGATAGAGGCTGGTATTTTTAGAAATTATGGGATGTGTTGGGATGTTATTTTCTTCCTGGTGGGGCAGTTAAGGAATAATGAACATTTGTTTTTAATCCACATGCCATACGAGATGTACGTTGTGATATGCTGAGAATCTAGGTATTAACCAGTGCAATTATAATAATAAGTAGCACATTTAATGTACACGAGGAACTGGTCTGTAAAATAAAGTACTGCCAATAAGGACGTAAGTTACGTAATATAACTTACTGAGAAAAAGAAACATAATATGCAATTCCTGATTAACAATTAACATTTTTACAATATAATTTTAAAATTTCCCCTCATTATAATGTTTATGGAACTTAAACCACAACAAGGTAGATTAATCTTAACAATTTTAAACCTCTCAAAAAAGTGACTAACCACTTTGAACGACGTTCTTGTATTTCGTCTTCACCTGCTGCCACGTTCGTCTTGGTCCCAAAGGATTGGATCTGCCATTAAAATGTAGGATTGAAGAACAGCGGAGCGGAATTGTTGTAAATAAAAATTAATTGTACTTACGCATTTAGTTTGCTGGCTATTTTTCGCCACGCATCCTGACGGAGTCTTGCAGCCGCTATAGTATTCCCTTTGGTTTTTATTAAATGTCTAACTTCGTCATATCCTTCCATTAAAAGTTGCAATTCAGCAGCACTGAAATAAGCAGCACGCTGCTTAGCCATGTTCATCTTGGCTTTTTGTTAGAATAAACAACAGTCTGTTTGTAAATAGTCTGAAACCTAAATCCGAGATGTGGACCGAAACCCCATTTCAGGTACGGACTCGAGCTAGCTCAACCCGGGCTATGCGAACTAATTCGGGCTTTGTTAAACCACGGTCGAAGAACGGGACCCAGATGCCTGTTTCTTGCTTAAAAACATTAGGCTTATAGAAAAGGTTGCTCTAATATTCGAAATAATGTACAATAGTAGACTTTTAAGTTATTTACGCCGTATGAAAAAATGGTGGCTGAATCGGTGAGATGATAGCTGTTGTTTGTGGTTGTGTGTAAAATAACCGAACGAGCTAGCTATCTAGACAGCGAAGCAAAGTATTGTCGTACCAAACATGCTGTCTATATAGGTGGCTCTGTAGGTTTTGAGACACAGTCATTGATTACATTCGTTCTTCCTCTACAGCAGATGGCGCGACGTAACCCAAATGACAAGAAATCCGTGCGTTAATATACACGAAGGACAGACAAATATCTTCTTTCCTGTCAGCTGTCCTTTTAGTGTAAGGAATGTGTTGTGGGATGATAAATAACATTCAACTTAAATATTCACCATACTGGAACGACAAATGAAATAATGTTTGCGGCGTGCTGAAGTTTGAGGCCGTAAGCTGGACATCGTGAAGGTTAGTTCATGTTTTTATGAGGGCTAGCCTGTCTGCTATCGTTAGCGAGTGTGTTTTGGAATTGTATTCAACTCAGGAAAGGACTTATTTTATTTAGGATGGTCAAATACGGCCTGGTTTTTTATTACTAAAGATGAACCATATAGAGATAAGTGGATTTTGGCATAAGTAAATAGCAAAAATTTGCATTAATGAATTATTCGTAACTGTTAGGTTGACCATTAACTTACTATAGAATATTTGTAACGTTAACACATAATAACATTGATTGATTGATTTAAAGTTAGTTGATAACTTTGATTGACAATTCGTTTTTGAACGAACAGTCATGTAATTTCATTGTGAATAGTTTCTGCAGTTATCTAAAGAACAATTAACGTTAACGTTAGAATAGTCCGTCATGTAATCAGTCTAGAAATTCTGATGAAATCCCACATGAATAAATCCTATAGTAATTCATAGTAAATAAATACAAAAGTGCTTTTGAAGCATACTATAGAATCGTGTATTATACTGTATGTATTTTAGTTTTTAAAACACGTTGTTAAAGAATGCTACTGCATACTGCAGTATTAAATACTCAACTGATAAACTAGAAATACTGTAGTATACTTAAATTTTTAATACAGCAAACTGTGGTATATTGTAGTAGAGTATATAGTTGTAGAAAAAGTTAGTTGATAAGTTTAGAATTCTATAATTGTATTTTCACAGAAAACGGAGAATTACTAGAGCAGATTAATTCAAGTACTTTCAGGTAGGAATAACTTGAAAATACACAATGAATTACTATTGTATTCTTTTAATTTGGGATCAATTAGGGCTGCACAATATATCGGTTCCGCATTGATATTGCAATTGTAATTATTCGCTTTAATGAGATCGCAGGACATGTGATGTTAAGTTTGTATAATAATTTATCATTTGCTTGTGATTTTGATTCCCGTGATTGTATTATGATTTTAAAAGCATTAAGGTATAAGAACTTGTACCATTTGTGACCTTAACTACGATTAATTTTATTGAATTATTTTTAATTTTATCTTTCAGTCACTGTACTTGAATACTGTCAGACTCGTAAAGTGATAAAACACTTTATTTCAACTGTATCTTTTTCTTGAGTGTGTTTATAGATTGTTATGCATAAATTCTCACTATAGAAATGCTCTGCAAATAGCACAGACCACAATGAAAATTTGTTGGAAGACCCAAAAAAATTTATAGATTGTTTATTGGTTTTTATGGAGATGCAAATAGTAAACATGAATTTTTCTCTGACTAAACATGTGCATGAAAATACTCCTAACAGATGCAAATACAGAAATGCACTGCAAATAGCACAAACCACAGTGTAAATGTGTCAGGGGACTCCAAAAAATGTATAGATTATTTATTAGATTCTATGGAGATGCATTCCCATTGCTGAATCATCCCAACAGATCTAACATTTATATATTTTTTCCAAATAGAGATATCTGGTGAAAATGTATTCATATCGCAATATATATCGCAATATAAAAAAAATTGCAATATTGGATTTTCCAATATCGTGCAGCCCTAGGATTAATCATAATGAGAATAATTTCATTAGACTGTTCAACCATATATCATATCAGAATTTCAACAAGCAATGAAAGTAATTAAAAAATTTTTGGACTCATCAGTTATAAAATCACAATTAGAACGATCATACAAAACATGAAATAAGTAGAACTGAATAAATGAATCAGATTTAAATTTTTCAGATTTCATAAATTAGAATGAAGTAATTCATTTATTTTTTAGTATTTTTATTATTTTATATATATTTTTTGTATTAATCCTTGATTATAATTATCATAATAAATTGATTTCAACTTGATGGATTAACTGCATTATAAATTCCATTCAATTAGTTGGATCAAATATATAATAAACTGTAATTTAAACAATCAGTAACAACATGTTTATATTTAATTTCTGAAATCACTTAAATCAAGCATATAGCTAGTTAATTTATTAAAATCATGTATGTCCTTGAGAACATTTAATGATATTCTCTGACATATGTTCATATACAGTACATCAGTGCTGTTAATGCATTCTGAGACGCTCTTTTGTGTCGTTTCGCAGTGGTTTTGTCTGCACAATGTCTGATCTGCTTGAAGCTTCACATGGTTGATTGAATTCCGCCTCTGAAGACATCAACATGCCAATATTGAGTCACAGTCATAGCGCCACCTGCTGGCAACAATAAGTTGGGCTCATAACTCAGCCACAGAATGTCTGAACTGCTTGAAACTTTACATGGTTGATAAAATTCCTCTACTGAAGGTATCTACATGCCAATCTTGAGTCACAGTCATAGCACCACCTGCTGACAGGAGAAAGTTTGGCATAAATGTGTGATTTTCTCATATATATCGGCCAAAATTAATATTGTTCGCTGTTCTCTGTCATCCTGAGGCCACCGGGGGCGGTGAGCCCGGGTGCGAGGTCCCTATCATCGCTGCTTGCAGCTTTAATTAATTTATTAAAATCATGTATGTCCTTGAGAACATTTAATGATATTCTCTGACATATGTTCATATACAGTACATCAGTGCTGTTAGTGTATTCTGAGGGGCTATTTTGTGTCCTTTCGCAGTGGTTTTGTCTGGACAGGCTCATCATGTGTGCATCAGGGAAGTACGGTTCACGGGGCCCTGCTCTCATACCCCGCATGAAGACTAAACACCGGATCTACTACATCACCCTCTTCTCTGTGGTCTTGCTGGGATTGATCGCAACAGGGATGTTCCAGTTCTGGCCTCACTCCATTGAGTCTTCAGCCGAATGGAGTCTGGACCGCCGCAGTGTGCACGATGCTCCTTTGGTCAGGATTCCTGTGAACAGTCCTATTCCTGGGAGGGGTGACCTGAGCTGCCGGATGCACACCTGCTTTGATGTTTATCGCTGTGGATATAATCCTAAGAACAAAATCAAGGTAATGCACAAACAGAGAATGTCCTATCAAATTTTTTAAACTTGTTTGCTGGATGTCATCCCTGTGCATCTTTTAATTAAGAAAACTTGCAGTAGCATTTGCAAATTTGAAACATCATGTTAGTGAACATTCGGAATCAGCTCACGATGCACATTAAATAAACAAGCCACCTGTGAGAGACACAATCTTTCCTCTCCCTATGCATCAGACACTATAATAAACAATAAACACTCCATGTTTCTGAGCAATCCTGGGTGTGCTTCACACAGGTGAGTGGGCTTGGCAATCACTCATAAGGAAACATACTCTTTCCTCTATCAGGCTGTATTTACACTGCAGATCTTGTTGCTAAATTCAATTTTGTGACTGCATCCGTTTTTTTTTTTGTTTTTTTTTTGACGACCCACTTACATCATCTTTTGTCTGCATTTGCACTGCATATGCAAAGAAATAAAGAGCAGGCGCTGACTGACCGCTTATTTGGCCATCTTCTTTCAATCAAGAATTTTTAAACCAGTAGGCATTTTAATGTCGTTTCCAAGGCATGCTTTATGCATGTGATCTATGCAATTTTAGCTCTATATCCATTAACTTGTGCTACATGACAATATAAAAGCTTTTTTTTTTCTCCTTGTATTTTAGACTTAAGTTGTCGGATCTTTTTCAGAATTAATAATAAAATAATACTTCTCATTTTTAAAGCCATCCACTATCTTGCTCCTCCATACCTTACTAGTCTTTTTCATATCGCCACACCTTACTGAACACTCAGGTCTTCTTCTTCTATTCGCCTCACTGTTCTCCCTGTCCGCCACCAGGGTAAGCAGAGCCTTCAGCCACTCTGCTCCTTAGCTTTAAAATTCACTTCCTCCTGATCTCCGTAATCTAAACTCTCTTTTAAAATTTAAATCCAAACTCAAAACACATCTGTTTAGAACAGCCTACTCTCTTTAACTCAACTGCGCTTTTTAAAATTTGTATTGTGTTGTATTGACTTTTATTGGGTTTTTATTTGAACTGACTGTTCTTGCTGTTCTGTACAGTGACCTTAAGTTTCAAGAAAAGTGCTTTTAAATAAAATGCATTATTATTATTATTATTATTATTATTATTATTATTATTATTATTATTATTATTATTATATTAATGCTTGTGTAGAACTTTGTTCCGAAGTGAAAGCATCAGAGTTTACGTCATTCGTTACCTTTCTTTTACTCGCATTGGCCGAGTAAAATTTCCATCCAACTTAGACTCCAGATATGAGGGAAACATTCGATTGTTTTTGGATAAATTTTCACATATGAGCAAGGCCTGAAGATCAAGGCCATGTATTATGACTACTTTTTTTCCTGCTTACAAGAACATGGACCATATCTGATCTGTGCTACATGGGAGAAAAAAAATCGCAATTGGGTCACTTGAACCATGCAGTGAAAATATAGCAGACACTTTTTTTTTTTACAAATACTCCAAAAGACTCAATAATAGTGAAAAAAAATGCTGACTAACTCAGACTTGTCATGGCAAATGCATTTTGCTGCTCTGGTGATTTTTAAGTGCTGATTTTACTCTTATATGTTAGCTGTTTTGGGTCAAATCATCTGCCAAATCAATGTACTGTAAGTCCAAATTCAAAATATGGGAGAGGGTTTTTATTAACCTTATCAATCCTTCGGTAACCCCACACAAATGCAGATCAAAAACATGCACCTTTAGGAAAGCATCTGATAATAGCAATTTAACACTTTATGTATTGTGGCCTGTCATACAGTAGTTTGCTTAAAAGCAATAGCCGCATTTCCACTATCGGGCCAGTGCGAGCCAGGGCTTTAATCGGGCCGTGCCGGGCCAATAGCCCGCGAGGTTGAGAAATGAGGCCGAAATCATGTCGCGTTTCCACTGACGGGCTAATAGCTCACAGCGCGTCACACAAACACCGCCCACAGAACGTCCCCGAATCAAACGTCACACAACCCGCCCACTTCAGATAAAGCACACCATAGAATCATCACGAAACAAAACCATTAAAATGAAGACAACCGAAACAAACAAATGACACGTTACTGTACAGCAGTACATGAAATGTCTATATGCACAGACCTGTGTATTTCCATTCATTACATTTGTTTACTCGCCGATCAACTGGCATTGTGCATCGACTGCTCTCGCCGAACGCAGGGACCCATCACAGAGAGCGCACACATCCATAATATAAAGCCACAGAAATTCTCCTTTATAGCTCGATATTGCATGTATTTTATAACATCCTCGTTTTGATAATAGTCGTGTTAAGTGTTTCAGCATAAGAGCGAGTAGCCTTAAAAAATACAGCCATATTTGTTGCGCTCGGCAGCTATTCACTAAAGCTCTTCATTTAAAGTTTCATTTATAAATTTAACCACGTCATATAAAAACATAAACAGTTGTTTGAGTATATAGAACACATTTTGTGTTTGGGCTTTACCCCGATGCGTTTAAAGCAGCGAGCGCTGCGCAGGACTGAGTGACAGAAAAAAAAAGGTATAAGCTAGATTCTGCTTTCAAATAATGCTCTGTTTGCTCGATTTGATTAATATCATCGTATCCAAATACTTTATAAAAAATATATCAAACCTTCTCCGGTGTTAATTGTTTTTATAAAATATCGAAAATCTTTTTTTTCAGACAGGTCTTTGTAAAATGAAAGTTATAGGCTATATATGTGGCTTTAAAACGGTTTGATTTATGTATTGTATATAGGCTACCTACATTGTTATAGCTAGCTTTTGTTTATTTTATATTGCTTTATTTATTTAATGTGATTTTATATTTATCCGATATTTGTAATTCTTTAAATTATATTACATTAAAGCTTAGGCTATTTTATCAAAATATGACACTATATTGTTTAAAGTCTACGAAAGTGGGCACGTATTTTGTTAAGTTTTATGTCCCTTTGTTGTATTTATATTGTGTATTATCACCAAAATAAATAAAGAAAAAAGCCGCTCGCGGCATAACAGAGCTGAAGGAGCGCTTTAGCCCGGTCTCACACACACATACATGCATCTAAACGCGCACAAACAAACATTTTAAATTTGACAAAAACTCTCGAAAACCTTTACTGTCTGCTGTGTCTTTAATATGGTGTAAAGATTATTATGCGTTATTGAAACATAAAGGAGGACGCAGCAAAAACGTCACTATAAATTAAAACTACTTTATTATTTTATGCAGCAGCCTTACATTTAAAAGGGAAACATAAGGGTGATTATACGCAAAAAGACCCCAGACTATAAGGCTAGATGTTGTCTTTCCCTTATTTCTTTATTTGTTTGGCGCATGTACTCATGTGCGATCAGAAAACAGCCCGCCTCTCCTTTCACTCCGCCCCGAAGCCCCAGCTGGCCCTCCTTGGCCCAAGGTATTCGGCGGGCCGAAAAAGGCCGGCCGCTGGCCCCAAGAAAGCCCCGCTTTGGCCCGATTAGGCCCCGGAAGTGACAGTGGAAACGCCACTGGCCTTGGCTCGCCCTGGCTCGCTCGCTTTAGGCGCGATAGTGGAAACGCGGCTAATGTTACTCCAGAATGAATATTTTCTGATCATTTTCTCACCCCTGTGTCACTCAAGATGTTCATGTCTCTTTCTTTAGTCAAAAAGAAATGAAAGTTTAAGAGGAAAACAAGTCTTAGGGGAGCTCTGCAAGTTGCATCTATGACTTCACATATAAATATCATGTTGCATGCCCTTTAGTTCTTGGACCTATGTTGCAGAGCTAGTGCAATATGAGCATTTATGGTTGGAAAGTATATATACATATTCAATTATTATATTATTTCAATATTATAGCCACACAAGTTTTATTCTATGATTTCACTAGAAGTGCATTAGTATATAACGATGTGGTTGTTTGTTTCTACTCAGGTGTACATCTATCCACTTCAGAGGTTTGTGGATGAAGTAGGAGTGCCCATCAGTAGCACTGGCCTGTCTCGAGAATACAATGACCTGCTGAGCGCCATCTCGGACAGTGACTTCTACACTGATGATGTGTCTAGAGCGTGTCTGTTTGTACCTTCTATTGATGTGCTGAATCAGAACTCTCTGCGTATTCGAGAAACTGCTCAGGCACTGGCCATGCTGCCCAGGTAGAGCTTTTTATTCTTTAGTGTCTGCAAATCGCTGCCTGCTTCTGCTTTAAAGTGCAGTGACATCTTCCACTCTCTACTTTTTTTTTTCAAGGGTTAGTTCACCCAAAAACGAATGTTCTTTCATTGCTTACCCTTCACTTGTTCAAAACCTATTTGAGTTTCTTTTTTTTTTCTGATGAACACAAAAAAGATCTTTTGAAATGTGCTGTTTGCTGGGACCCATTGCTTTCATGTCATAGTCATTTTTTTTGCCTTCAGCATTCTTCAAAATATTTTCTGTTGTGTTTAACAGAAGACAGAAACTCATACAGTTTTTACAACTAAAAGATTGTAAGTAAATGATGAGTTAATTAAAATTTTTGGGTGCACTACCCCTTTAAGAATAAGCTTTAGGAATGTGCAGTATTAGTTACAAATTTTACTGTAAATCATAACAGACTGTTTCAATATAAACATTAAGCATGTTTATTCATACTTCTTCAGGTGGGACAAAGGCATGAACCACCTGCTGTTTAACATGCTTCCTGGAGGACCTCCTGACTACAATACAGCTCTGGATGTGCCAAGAGACAGGTGAGATTAAGTAGAAGGTAACATTTGATAATATGTTAAATGTAAACTGCGATTTAAATGTTTGAGGTTAATTGAATGAAAATGAAATGTTTTATATTACATTGTCAAACTGTGTGTCAAAAAACAACGAACTTTAACCAAAAATGAGAATTTCCTTAGAAAAAACATTTTCTTTGATCAGTTATCAAAAAGTTTTTCTTGAATGTATTATTTTACCATCTGATTATTTAACATGGCAAAACTACAATACTTGCAGACTAGAACAAATGACCTAACCTAATTAACTGTACCAATCCCGCAATTCAGTAAGTTACTGTTAAAAAATTTCAAACTTTTACTACCTTTGCAGACAGATTAGTTTGCATTTGCGGTTTCAGTGGTAATAACCAAATGTGGTCCAAACAATAAACAAATTTAAAACCTAGACTAAAGTAACTGATAATTTAATTTTATAGTTTTCAGACATAATTGTTTATATTTAATATCATTTAAATTGTGCAAAAACATGCATTTGACACAATTACTGTATGTTACCATCTTATTATTTAACATGACAAAACTACAATACTTGCAGACTGGAACTAATGACCTAACCACAAATTTTACTTATCCCACAATTTAGTAAGTTAGTGTTAAATCATTAAAAATGTACTACCTTTCCAGAAAGAATAAGTTTCATTTGCACTTTCAGCTGTGTTCATCATACAGCTAAAATGACGTTTTTTATTAAGTTAAATTTGGACTTGATTTCGTGATACCATCAAAGAAAGGCTCAAAATCCACTTCCTTTTCATTTACCGTTGCTTGGTGGTGAAATGGTCTTCCCAATACCAAATGGAATGCCAGTATACTACAACATTAGAACAGCAACTAAAACTTATCTATTACATGAGCTTATGACTATATCTTTAAAAAAAATCCCTTTCCTAATTTGATTTTGTAATTCTGAGACATTAATTGTTCACATTAATATCATTTAAATTGTACTAAAACATGCATTTAATACCATGCACTTCAGAAAAACAGTCTGAGGTTTAAATAGTTTAAAACAATGGCTAATATCTGATTCGATATTGTAATGCAGGGGTGCTCAATCCTGTTCCTGGAGATCTACCTTCCTGTAGATTTCCGTTGCTACCCATTTCAAGCACACCTTCCTGTAATTATCAAGTGCTGTTCAGGTCCTAATTAATTGGTTCAGGTGTGTTTGATCAGGGTGAGAGCTGTGTTTTGCAGGAAGGTAGATTTCCAGGAACAGGATTGAGCAGCCCTGTTGTAATGTATGTGTTGTCTGCCAGCTGAGGGCAGTGTGTCTCTATGTTTGACCTTGTAGAACTGCAATGTCACTTTGGGCTTTAAATGCACTGCTCATCATTATCTATATACATTATCTTTTACATTGATACATTTATCTTTGATAAAGAATTGTTTCTCTACTTTATTCCTGTAAAATAGAGTAGCTTGAACTCATGGTTGTCCACAATCATTCTAGATCTGTATTATTATCATCAGTCTCGTATTAAATTATTGCAGTACATATTATAAATGCCGATCATTAACACAAATCATTGTCAAAAATTTATCGCTTTTGACTGTTCAGAATTGTTTATATATACACACACACACACACACACACACACATATATATATATATATATATACATACATAATCGTAATTTTATATATAAAATCGTAATGTGTATGTTTGTCTATATCGTTGTAAATCTACCTGGTGAGTTCAAAGATCCAGTGAAAGAGGTCATGAAAAGGAAGAACACACAACCGCCTAAAGCAAGTCGACAAATATAATCTTGTGGCATTTACTGCAACATAGTCCATGTTTCTCAGCCCTGTTACTTGGCTGATCTTTTGCTTTGGGTGGAAAAGGTGAGTTTTTGTGTAGTAGAAAGCCCTGAAATGATGAACACTTATCTGGAGCTGTAGGGAATTTCCTGGGCTCATCCAGCTGTGCTCCATTTGGAGTGCAGCCTCATCAGAACCAGCTGCCCGTATGCGCATATGTGTGGGGTGAGATAAAAAGACAGTGTATGTTGCATGGCCATATTTGCAGCTCTCCCAATACTCGCTTCGTTCCCTCAAACCGAGCGTCGTTTGAAGTTTTATAGACTCGTTGTAGAACCAGGACGCAAAAGCAACTCTGTTAAATGCTCCGGAGTGGCATGTTCGCACATTAGTCATGTAAAACCAGATTGGGGATGTGTTTTATCTTCAGTGCCTTTTGCAGATGCTTGCGCTGACAGCGTTGTCATCTACATTGGGTTGTTTTTTTCCCACAGAGCCCTGCTGGCTGGGGGAGGCTTCTCCACATGGACCTACAGACAAGGTTATGATGTCAGCATACCTGTGTATAGCCCTTTATCTGCTGAGGTGGACCTTCCTGAGAGGCAACCCGGGTGAGATCCTGCTCATTGACGCTGGCCAATTGTTTTTTATGTAAAAATGCAAAATGGCATCTCATAAAATGTTTTTCTTCCAGTCCTCGGCGCTACTTCATTCTGTCATCTCAGACAGCCATTCATAGGGAATACCGTGTGGAACTGGAAAGGCTGAAGGATGAGAATGGGGAGGCCCTGCTTCTGTTAGACAAATGCAGTAATCTCTCTCAGGGTTTGACCTCGGTTAGAAAGCGCTGCTATAAAGGACAGGTGTACGACTACCCACAAATTTTACAGGTTGGTGTGTCTCAACATTCAGCTTACATGTAAATCAAATCAAGTCAAATCACTTTTATTGTCACATCATCAGCAGCACGTGTGCTATGTTGAGTGAAAAGCTTAGGTGCTGGCTCCAGACAGTGCAACTACAACGGCAATGCAAAATACAGACAGAACAAAATACAACAGCATACTCCCAAAAAAGCAGGACAATGTAAAATTGACAGCGATATGTACAATGAATATGTCCACATAGTTGTAGGCAGCATATTTCACATGTAAGAATGATTTAGCCCCAACTTAAAAAAAAAAGTATTAAAATAATATAAATAAATTACAATGGTTGTTTTGTTTTTGGTTGTTGTTTTGGACCAAAGTCCCTTTAAGGCAAGTCATTTCACTCGGTGGCCATCTTTGAAACACCTTTCGGGCAGTATGCTCGGGCATTCTTTCTCAATGGGCAAACCTTTTCAATTCTCCAAAACTGTTTGCCAAGCTTACAATTACATTACATATTTGAAATCACCAACAAAATGAATCAACAACTGTCTCATAAGTTTAGTTTCTAAATGTCTGAATCAAACAAATATAACATAGTTTCATGTTGCCCAAGCTAATGTGCATGTGCACTCGAAAGGAAACCGATCACAACACCAACCTCATTTATGGCCGTTCTACACATTATCATCCTCTTAATAATGTCTCATCCGATCGCGCTGCTCTTCTGAAGTAATTCACAGCTTGGTCTAGATGGTGAATCTAAACAAAGAGTTGCTGTCAAGTTTGAGTAGTTGCTGTCATGTGATTTGCATTTGACAAGACTGTACCTCGTGTTTCATACAGATTACAAAATCAAAAAACTTTTGATTTCAAGTGCACAAACTTCATTTAAAGTAGAGATTTCAAGCTTTATTTGAAAATATTTTTTACGTCTGTAAAGCAAGTGTTCGTTGAGATTAATGTGTGTTTGTTGACCATCAAAACATAAGTCTATATCGATCAATGATTGGCTACTGTACTAGTAGGTGGGGCTTTATTTGCCATATTGACCATTACACTTTTCCCCATTCAAGACTAAATGAGTGACACGTCTTGTGTATTCTCTGGTCTTTGTTTTTACCCATGTAACTTGAGCTTATTATGACTAACAATTTAAATACCATTTTTTTAAATTAAGAGCAAACACTACTAGCTTAATTAATATAAATTATAAACGTTTATTTAGGTCAATTTACTAATAGCAAAAACCTTATATTAGGTGGGTCAAATGTAATGATAAAAATCAAATAATCTAATGTAAATTTATATTGCTCAATCTTAACATTTCTAGGTAAATTTTTGTTTAAGCTTAATCTACAGTAATTCCGTCAAGATCAGTAACTAATTTTATTAGAGCTTTTTGTTGTTTGATTAATTTTGACACAGTTTACAGCATGTTTACGGGGTTGCTGTCACTAAGACCTAATGCACGGATTACAAATAAGTATACATATTTTTTAAAATAATGTTTATTTATTTATTTTGCATGTAACAACTTGACTCCCGTCTTCTTTAAGTCAAAACAATAGTTAAACTCTCTGATGACTAAAAGTGTTCTACACCCTGCACTGAATTTACTCCTTAATGATCCCACATCACAGGCTACATTTTCATCCACCTATTTTTATGCACATTTTGGATATGCAAATAAAAAAAAGGGTTAATGGAAATGTCAAGATGTGCATAAGTTTTGAAAATGCTTACAAAAACATGCGCATAACCGAATAGGATAAACTTTTTATTCGATAAGAAAAGATGTGCTTAAACTGTGATGGAAACAAATTCCACCAAATCGAACAAATTCCAGTATGCACATTAAGAAAGGTCATGTTAATTTGTTATAAGAGATCATGTGGTGATTAAAATGTGTGTAAATGGACAAACCAGCAGGCTGAGCACATTGTGAAACAACGGAAATGTTGTTTTGATCATTCTAAAACAACTTAACCATCTCAGTATTAATGTTATTATGTTACTAATAACCTCCAAAACCTCCTGTTCTCCGCATCTCACGCCTTCGAACGCCACCATACGTTCATTGCGTGTCAGCATTGTCCTCTGAGGCACAAGTCATTTATTAATTAAAAAAAAGATTGACACAGCTTCTCCTACCGCAGCAAATTGCGTTTTTACTGTTAATATTTGACGCCAGATAATCAGGAAGTGACGATTTTGTTCTCTTTGACTACTGGGATGGAAGTGCTGCTTTATTTGCACGTCTTTTATGCTATAATACTGTGTCACGCATACATTTACATCGCATCTTTTGATTGAAACATAGCTACTGTCTACAGCAAATTAACCCTAGTGTGCCTCTAAATTTCCAAGAGACTTTAAATCTGCAACCCAGCCAGATGCAATCTTCACCACCTCAATACATTTCTCCATGGGTGTAAGAGATAGAAACAAAGCGCTGTTCCTGTCCACCATGCTCATCTCCCCGTCCAGCCCTGTCTAGACAGGAAGTATGCTTATCATCTGGGCTGGGTGCTGCAGCACATCTGGGAGACGTTCCACAGTGAGGAGGAGCGGAGGCCAAATCCCTGTGAGAGCCATCACCCCCTTTTTTCAACACAAAGCCCTTCTAAACTCTGATCTGAGCACCTTTCATTACAACCCCTTCAATTACACCACACACCTAGTTCACACTGCTGTCTGGGGTTATGGCATAAGTAAAGTGGTTTGGGAGTGTGTCAAAATTGAAGATGACAAATACGTCCCCTGTGTATTCTGTAGGAGTCGTCATTCTGTGTGGTTCTGCGTGGGGCTCGATTAGGCCAAGCCACGCTCAGTGACGTGCTGCAAGCGGGATGTGTCCCTGTCATCATGGCTGATTCTTATATTCTGCCTTTCTCTGAAGTGCTGGACTGGAAAAGGTATACACCAAAAAGCTTTTTTCAGTCATGAGTGACTATGAGCCATTTGCTTCACTTGATGAGTTATTATTTATTTATTTTTAAGATTCCTTATGATAGGAAAGTAGATACTGACAGGAAATTTATTTGAATCATAACATTTTACAACACGACATATAAATTCACATCAAATATTAACACAGCACTTATTCATATTGTACATTAGTTTAACCATTTTGGCTTAAGTATTAATAGCTAATGTACCTCCCCATTTCTTGCGAGCACACACACATACACACACCTGAGGAGAGCGATACATGTGCGCCACTACAAAGCCTGTCAAACAGCACCTAATTACAGGACTAGGCTATCTTTAATGTCTGATCGTGTTAAAGCCAAAACTGTCAAAACCACCCAATATTTACACATAAACATATTTGGTTTTGTGTCGAAAGTAAAAGGAAGCAAGACCAAACCGATGCATAATGTTTATAGGTCTTTAGGGGACAGAAGTCTAATATACTCAACATGCTGTCACTTTTGATTAAAGGCATAGTTCACCCAAAACAAAACTTCTGACATAATTTACTCACCTTTGACTTGTTTCAAACCAGTTAGAATTTTTTTAAAATCTTTGTTCAGTTTAACACAAAAGAAGATATTTTGAAAAATGTTACCTCTATTGACTTTAATAGTTTTACACACACACACACACACACACACACACACACACACACACACACACACACACACACACACACACACACACACACACACACACACACACATACACACACACACACAGAGAGAGAGAGAGAGAATGAAGGATGTGGGTGAACAAACAGTTGGATACTGATAGCAAGAAGAAAACTGTGGAAGTCAGTGGAGACCTGGAACTGTTACCCAGTTTTTTTTTTTTTTTTTTTTTGGTTTAAAAGAACTTAAGAGTAAGTAAATTATTAATATTTGGGTCAACTATTATAAACCATTATCAGAAAATTGTGAAATTATATTTTTGCCATACAGTATTGCCAACCCCTAGCTCTACCATAATTTTACATGGGTGTACAATAAAGGCCTGGCAAATCTGCGAAAATATACATTTTATTTAATTATTGGACAGATACATTTAAGATTTGATTTGTGAAAAACATTTGGAAGACAGTCATGCATTTGCGCCCAGAAGGAGTTTAAATATGTTTATGTATTCATATCAAATTTACATAGCAGCCTTTGCAATTAATCGTTCAGCTCTATTATTTGTGATTTATTTTTTTAAATGTCTTTGAAAGCTGTTTATGTTCTGCAAGGCTGCATGTATTGTCCAAACATACAGTAACAATGCAAAATATTTACAATAGTATTGCAATCATTTTTTAAATAGTAGGACGTTTACCTTCCTTAAACGCTCAAATTGCAGTATGCATGCATGTGAAGCAAACACAACAAATTGTATTGTAGATAAATGATGTTTTTTGGAAGATAAAGCAAATTAGGATGTTTTCATTCTGATGGTGTTTTATGTAAGGCTATGAATTATACTAGTATATTTTTAACATTATCATAAGCAGGGCCTGATTAAGAACATTTTGGGCCCTGGGGCTATAGCAAACCCAAGGGCCCCATTTATTTATCGCCTTACAAAAGTAGCTTATATTTTTATTTATTTATTTATTTATTTATTTTTATTTGGCTTAGTAATATGGTCTAATTTCCCACCTCTTGATCTATATTTGATTATTGTAAATGTTTTCAGTTTTACTAAAGTAGGCATACAAGCAAGGCTGCTAAAATCAGTGACAAAAAGAAACACTTTTGCAAAACGTCTTAAATAAGTGATTTAAAATAAATGCTTTAAATGGGGATACCTTTAAAAACTATACTTTAAACATTAGCTGAGCAGATATCCCTAAAATATCTTTAAAAGCCATGCTTCTAATTTCCCATTTGGTCTTGAGTCAGTGATCACAAGTTCATATTGACCAAACAAAATTTAAGGTATGGAGTGCCATTTGTGTGTGTGTGTGTGTGTGTACTTGCAGGGCGTCTGTTGTCATTCCAGAAGAAAAGTTGCCAGAGATGTACACCATTTTGAAGAGCATACCTCACAGACAAGTGGAGGAGATGCAGAGACAGGTGAGAATGCACTTACAACATTGCAGTCACACTAAACATTTAGATTAATTGTTTTCATCTGTTTTTTTGGACTGGATCTAGGGTCAATCCAAGGACTGAAATGTAAAGTGTAGACAGTTTGTTTTTCTAAAACATTCGCTCTGTTCTTCTCTGCAAAAGTTTGATCAGAATTACAAATACACTTGGAGCTATTTGTGAAAAACAATCCAACAAGCATCAGCCCAGTGTGACAGTTACTAAACAGTACCAAATGCTGTCGAAACAGTTCCATAGCAGCGGAGTCACTCTCAGACTATATGCAAGCAACCCTCTCAGGCTTAATACAAGGTGAAGACGAGGTTAAAGGAGTCACAACCTCTTTTCTTCTTCTCTAACATTCTTTCTTTCTTTCAATGGTGTGCTAGTTCCACTATGAAAATAACTGTTAGACAGGTGGGCTAATGCCAAAAACAATATTCCTACAAGTGTGTGCTTTTGATTCTCTGAAGATGAAATTTCTCCCACTGTAGTAAATCATGATGAAAGCTAATTTTAAGTATTAGTGATGTGTCTTTATCCAAACAAATTGTTAACCACACACTTACTTTTTTTCTCTTTAGCTTTTTCAGCTGTATGCTTATGTTTGAGTGGCTAAACCACATGGACTACATGTAAAGAGATCTTTTGGTTTCACTCTGTAATAATTATGGTTTATAAATTTCCATGGAGAGTACTATATGTTAGCCATAATTAATAGTAATTGCACTCTGCTTCTATTGGCATTGGCTTTTTAGAACAACCTCAACTTCAATCTCGATATTTAGTGAGAGGAGAATGCTATAGTTCAGTTCCAGAGGTTTCTGGACGGTGTTAGGTCTTAGTGTGCAGAAACACATCTTGTGCTGGAATTATGACATGGCATGAAGCCAGTTAGATATCAGCCCACACTTGAACACATCTTGATCCACTCTTTCTTACTAGCCTATACCACCTCCAGACAGCAGAGCGATTGTATGGCTGCCATTGTACAAAAGAACTGCTTCTTGATATATACCTGACTTGGATCAAGAAAAAAATCCTACTACTTTGTTCTTGGTCTTGCCAGAAAACAACCCCCTTGAACTTTCAGTGTAGGGCTGCATAAAATGCAGATGCTACAAATAATGCGAGTCAGAAGGACAGTTGTAAGGAGTAATGTAGTGTTGTTTCTTTGCATTTTGGCCCATAGAGGGAGCAGCCAACTACTGTGCTTTATGGTGTGATCTTCAAGCATCCAGTTTTAAAAGCTCTTAACTACTCTGACATTGGTTGCTGTGCATCATGATATTTTTGGGTGCAGTCAGACTCTCATTACACATAACTTTTACGAGATTGATGTTTTTATTGAGCAATGCTCTGCAGTTGTAGTGCAGTCGGTTTGATTATCTTTCATTTCTGACTATAATGAATCTGTTCTTCTTAAGTTAAAACGATGTTAGGTGTTTTATTAAAAAAATATATTTTTGGTAGATCCCAACATTACTGTGCAATCATTCCAGATTTAATTAATGACTTATGACTTGTGAGACATACATTAATGTAGTTATTGGCAATTTATTCATTTGACATGGTGTATTTAAATATCCACTGTATTTGAATTTGAAATTATTAAATGGAATAGCCCCTTGAGATAAACCATTGCATATTCTCACTTCATTCATGTCCATATTTTATTAAAAAATCACATTATATGGTTTTATTGATGTAGTATTTGATAAAGTTAGGGATATTTTTTAGATTTCATTTTATGCCTCTTCTGAAAGTCATTGAAGTCATATATTTTGCTAGATGCTTTATATATTGTAATTGGAATGATTTATACAATTTAGATTTGTAAAAAAAAAAAACTATAGAAATTGTTTATTAAACTAATAGACAACCACAATTAGTAAGATTAACTGGAACAGGAATCATTAAATTCTTTTCTTGCCATTCAGAATATTTATATAGGAACAAACAGTGTTCTTTTAGGGGGTATTGAAAGCAATGCTCCATGTATGTTTAAGAGTGTACTGTCTAGTGAACTGTATGAACAACCTTAAGTGTGTGTGTGTGTGTGTGTGTGAAGAGCAGCCAATATTTTCTCCTCTCACGAGACTCTGTCTCTTCCCTCCTCATAAAAATTCTTGCAAGCGTTCAAACGGGGCGGGTTCAGTGCTTGGTGGGTGCGGTTTTCTCTCTGCCTCCTCCTGGTCGGAAAAGAAACTTTCATCACAAGCTGATTTATGGGCGGCTGTGCTCCCCTTGGGATCAGAAAGTCTTTTTGAATCCTCTTCCACTCTCCATAAAAAGAAAAGCTGTTTTTGTGTAGTTGTATTTCTTTAAGGTTTAAGGGCCAGGCCCTTGGGGGCCGGTGGAAGGGGGAGCGACAGCACTCTTCTGATGTGCTGAACTTCTGGGTTGGGTATATGACAACAAACACGGCGGTCAATGAAATGAAAAACCCTCAAAAGCGAGCAAGTTTAGTTCACTTTGGAGAGATTAATTGGAATGGTCAGAGGATTCCCTGCTTTTAATGTGTTGCACAAACTTCTACTTCATAAAATGTTGCATTAAATCATTTTTGAACAGTTTTTGTTAAGAGGAGGACCATTAAATCTGTCTGACGTTGTTCAGTAATTGGCCCAAGAAAGTGTAGGACAGCCATTATTCTTCTTTCAGTGCTCACTCACGTCTCTTTTGACTCTTTGTAGTTGGAGCCAATCTGACGCTGTTTGCGGTCAGCCCAGGTAATGAGGTTGTCCCCAGCATGCTCTTGGTCAGGCCTGTTAAAGATGACAGGGTCAAACAGGACCAGGAAGGGTGGAGCTGGGTCACTGCGGCATGGCGCCGCCTAGCTGGAGATAGCTCTGTTTTATGGGTGATTAACTGTTATGTGCTCCTCGCCCCTCACTGCTGGAGCTTTGGGTCTGTTAATGGATCAGCAGTAGAGGGCAAAGAGTGTGTGTTCTTGTATTGACAGATTATTTGTAAAATGTTTACCTTTTAATTTGTACTTTTAATAATTATTTTCTTTGATTATGGTATTTCATATGATAAGTAATTGGTGATTTAGGCATTCTGTAAAGAGAAGTCAACAGTATTGATAAAAGAAATTTGGGAGATATCCTTATTGATTATTTGGTGGAAACACTGTCAGGGATTAATTAATAATTAGTAGTTTCCAGATATTTTAGGTTTTTGCTTCATATACACAGTCATTTCAGTTAATTAGTCAATACAGTAAAAAATGTTGAGGTCTGTAACTTTTAAAAACAAATTGAAAGAAGGTTTACGGTCACTCAAGCTGATCTAATTTTATAAACTATTTTAAAGTAAGTACTAAAATTGTTAAAATGTTCCTTTTTGTGATGGCAAGAATTCATTATTAATCTTCCGTGCCATTTGTATGTATACATACATGCACACCAAAGAACGTTGTTTATTTGAAATACAATTTGTTGTGTCAGTTAAGAATTCTTTACAGTTACTTGAGATACTCAAGATAATACATCCATGGCATGCTGTAAAAAATTATCTTGTTATCACAGACTGTTGGTACAGTACATTACACAATATACATATATTTTAAAAAATCATAAAACCTGAACTTTGGACAATTAATTAGCACTTATTTTTGTGAGACATTAGCATTATAGCAGCATATAGCAGTATCATGGACAAATGTAATTCATTGAAGCACGTCCACTTTTAATAATCACTTTTTTTGACAATGGTCTTCCCATATAATTGGTCATTTGGGGATTAGTGAAAAGAGTCTGTATTGACGAAAGAACAGTATTGATGAAAGAAATGAACAATTTTAGAAATTTGCTTTTGGTCATTTGGTGAAAATAAAACACCATCAGGAATGAATTATTAATAGTTACCTGATATTGTAGGTTTTTGTTCATATGAATATATACACACAGTAAAAACGTTGGGGTCTGTAATTTAAAATAATATTGTGAAAAGGTTTAAGGTCAGTAAAGCTGAACTGATTTGATTAATAAATACTGCACATTGCAGTAATAAAACTATTGTAAAATGCTGTCACAAAAATATGTTTCTATGTTAATGGTAGATTTAAAGTTTGTAGAATATTACTATTCTCGCTAATTTTGATCAGTTGAGTATATGCAGAGCTAGAGCTTCAAACTTCTTTTTATACAGTTCCTTTTACAGTATCGATGTTGTAATGTAATTCAAATACAATCAGTTCAATAGACTTTGGCATTCATTTAGTTGCTCAAGCATAAAGCGAGACAAAAAGCCTTTTACTCGCATGCGCACATCAGAATCGGCAGGCTAACAAAGAAACTCCATCAAATATACTGGGGTAAAATAAATGTTTATATTTTAAAGACATGGCATGGACAGATGTAATTTAATGCATTTAATTTGGTTAATGTGCTACTTGTACAATCTGAGACCCACTTAATATTGGGTATCACTCAGCCAGTGGAGATCGCTGATTTTTAAAGAAAACAGACCTCAAACGCTCTGATTTTGTAATGGCATACAGTTCACCGGAAGCGCTAAACCCAGGTTACTGACAAATTAAAAGTCCTTTCACATACTTCCGCATATACCCTATAACATGATCCTAAGAACATCATATATTTGAAATACAATTTGTTGTGTCAATGAAGAATTTTCTATTCTTTTTAAATACATTTCCTAAAAATAATGATTCTCTAAAACTAACCATAAAACCTGAACCTTGGAGTGGACAGTACACTTAATTTTTTTGTACAGCATTAGCATTATATCTACATTTAGCAGTGTCATAGAAAAATGTAATGCATTGAAGCGCGTCTCCCAGTGCTTGTGTGCAGTAAAATGACCTGACCTCTGCTCTTAAACAAGCTGCAGTCTCAGTGCCACTTGAGTGGAAAAGTTAAAAGACTGATAGTGTAAAGGGCTCATAACCATCTCGAATGGTCCCTGCAGTCATGTCACCAGTCTTTTAATGGGCTGTTTTGCCTTTGAACGTGTGTCTGGGTCATAAAGTCATAAGCAGGACAGTGGGAGTAAAAGGATGTGAGTGCCTTATCTTTTACTTTTGGTTTGTATCGTTTACATGGTTTGTGTGTGTGTCTGCACATGTGTGTGTGTGTGTGTGTGTGTTCTTGTTTATTCAGCACACTTCTGAACATACATAGACCATACTTTTCACTTCTGTCTTATGGTACACGTTCCTATATGAAAATATTTGTTACTATACACATTTTGGATGAAAAACAAAGGTACTAATGAATCTTGTTCCAAATAATCTTATTGATTCTTGTTATCTATCGGTTCCATAAAAAATGACTAAAGCAAATATATTAGACAAAAATCTCAAATCTGTTTAGTTGTCTGTGCTTTGTCTTTTTTTCCAACTAATAATTGAATGCCTTGCCTTTTATTTATTTTTTTCCTAGGCTCGCTGGTTTTGGGAAGCCTACTTCAGCTCCATGAAGGCTATTGGCATGACGACTCTCCAGATCATTAATGATCGCATTTACCCATATGCAGCTCATACCTATGAAGAATGGAACAATCCTCCTGTGGTTGTAAGTGACCTCTTTTTTTTTTTTTATCATGCACAAAATGTGTTTCTGCCCACAGCCCATATATTATCTCTTGGTGACTAAAACACAGTTAATGGAACCAATTCAAAGTCATTAAAAAAATCCATTTTGTTGACTTTTTAAACATTAACAAAGTTCTACACATAAATAAATATAATATTGATGTAAATGTAACTATTTGGATGTAAATGTAAACAATTTAATATTTTCATTTTAAAGAAGTTCAGATCAGTTGACTTTATAGGTACCCGTAGGTAGATTCTTTTTGCTGCAAAGTTTGATACAAACAATGTCATACAAAAAACATCTGAAACCTTCGACTTGAAGGGAGAAGGTTAAACTTCTCAGACAGAGGATGAGAGCTACAGCTATAACATTCTTGGTAATCCGTAAAAGCTGCCTACTATACAATACTCAGCTGTGATTCACCAATTAACCTGATAGACCGCCTAATAACCTAGCTCAGTCTGTTCAATTTGCATGTTTTCATTGTTCAGATTTGGTGAGAATGTGAATAAGGTTCATTTTTATGCCTTTCTGGCTCTGTGTGAGAATATTAAGTGTGTTTGTAGAACATTGTAAAACTGCAAATTCTACAGGTAATGACAGGTATTTTTAGACATTTTTAAGGTGTTAATTTGTCCTTTGAAACGTCTTAAAGGGATAGTTGACTTAAATATTTTACTCACCCTTCACTTGCGCCAAACATTTATGAGTTTATTTATCTACTGAACACACAAGAAAATATTTTGAAGGAAGCTGAAAAACTGTGAAAGTCAATGGTTAAAGGTTTTCTGCTCTCTTCACAATATCTTCTTTTTTTTGTGAACTGAAGAATGAAATTCAAACAGGTTTCTGACTAGATAGTTTCAACTATCTCTTTAACCACAGCACAAAGTCTTGCATTAAATGTTGCCTTCACTGCACCAAACAGCAACTCATTAGGGGTTCTCCCGTTCTCATCAACTTGCTACAAATCAGATCACAAAGAGGGATCCAGATCCCCAGTAGGCCAATAGTCTTGTTTTCTGTTGTTGATATTACTGGAAATATTAAATACTTTCTGAATGTTCTGTAAGAACACACTGCACAGAACCAGAGCAGTACATAAATCGAGTGCATTTCTTGTTCTGCTTCCCTATATCCACCGGGACATAATTGAAAGCATATTTCTTCAGCTCTGCCTTAGGAGACAACATCAGGACAAGCAGCTTTTTGTGCTTGACTTCTGAGGGAACTCGCATTGAGGCTCTGCTTACCAAACGAATGCTTTATGTTCCATCATACATTTATTATCTGTGAAGAATTTTTAACATCACTCGTTTTTGGGATGCCAGGTCGGATTTTTAAATGCTGGAAAAGTTAATAGAGCAGGAGAAAATAAGCTTCTACTTCAGATGTGTGATTTGTAAACGCGCATGCACTTTATCATGTCTCCTGGTGATATATACATTTCTCATCCTATTGAGCTGGAAAGAAGGCAGGCTCTGTTCATGTGTTTGAGGGATGAAAACTAAAGCAACGTGACCGCTGCTTGTTCCCGACAGTCCAAATCTGCAGGAAGCCGCTGCCACTTAGAATGCTGCTCTTATTTTAGCCCGGTCTCTGTGATGTTCGCAATCGCTGCCCATCAGCTTCAATGAGAATCTGGAGGTAAATGTTCTGTGCACTGAGCCTTTGCAATTGAACAGGCGTCCATGCTTTCATCTGGGTTCCATTTTCCACTAATCCCAAAGCTGTACTAGTATGATCCCAGCTGCAAGACTTGCCAAGCCCCCTCGGCCCACATGAAACGGCCTGCAATCCCTCACCGTCACTTGAGCAGCCTGTAAACTCTTCTTTTCACGTGTGACAAAAGAAAACTGGTGCCCAAAACAAGCTCTTCATGAGCAATTGTACTTAATGCCGAGTTCAGGCTGCATGGTTTTAGCCCTGATTTTGACTTGACGCCAGGTTTTGAGAAATTAATGATAAATGCCTGAAATCACAAGAAAATCGATCCTCGTTCACGTGAGTCACAATCACACAGTATGAACTATCAAAGACACAATCTAAGAGAATCCCTGATGGGTCGCTGACACCAGTGAGATATTTGGCATGCTAAATATCTGGAGTTGTCAGTTATTCAAATCATGCCGTATGAAATGTGTTCTGATTGAAAATAACGTTGGCGATTTCCTAGAGCCAATGAGAGAGCAGCATCCACTGGTATGGGTATCTGCAGGCCATTTTGAGTTGATCAAATCTGCATTGTGATGTTGCAATTTCTCTGTTACACATGACAAATATGAACAGAATTAGCGTCATCATCATTTAAAATGAAATAAATGGTTAAACATTTCTTGTCTTTCACAGACCTCTGGATTTTAAAATGTTACTACTTTTTTTTTAATTTATTTTTTTAAGCCAAATCTCAAAGCTCAAGCATAGTTCAGTATATTACAGCTCTTATAACTTAAAGAAAATCATAAAATCTTTAAAAAATGTCTAATTTTACTAGTGGCTATTTATGTAAATCATCTGTATATTTTCATATGTATATTTCGAAAAACTTACGAACAAGTGTCCACTACTGAATGGAATAGAATGCACTAAACTGTAGCAACTACAGTGTTGTGATGTCACAGTCGCATTCCATTCTGGGATTTAAAATGGCTATAGCTGGATATATCCATGGAGGCTTCTCTCATTCAACAAGTGAAAGTTTGCGAGTGGATGCCTAAAACTGGAGTGGAACACAGCCTATATGTTAATTAATTTCTTTTTTTACTTATATTGATCTAAGAGCCAATCACACAACAGAAATGAGTGAAAAAATGGGAATCTAAAAGTATGTTGATATTAGAGATGTACGAAATTCATTGACCGAAAATATGTTATGCCATTTAATGGACCCTCTCATTTTTGTGGCTTCAGTTATTCTTGGGTTACTCTTTTAAATCTGGAAGCATTAACAACTGATATTGTAATGTATATCGTTATCGTTCTGAATGTAAAATAATTATTGAGATTGCCCAGTCCTACTGAAACCCACTACCAATTTTCACAAGCAACCCAAGTTGAGAACCTGGTCATTTATGGCTTGTTCTAAATAGTGGATGAACCGCGAGCAACTATTCCTCTGTTGATGTCGAAAAAACAATTTGTCTTGTTTTCCTGCTTATTTACTTGAACAAATCACAAAGACTCGACATGCGCCGAACCACACTGGAGCCTGCCCAATTAGATCAGAGCGTTCAGACTAAGCTTATATGCACCACACCCCAGTGTTCTTCTTTATTCATCTTACCACTTATATGTCACAGTGGTAGTTTAATTATTTCCCCCTCTGCTTTTGGTGTCCATGTCAGGCACCTCAAAGAAATTTCCATTGGCGTATAAAGTTTGCTTTTTATTAGCAGGATGGTTGACTGATGTTGTATGAAGGACGGCTGTGTCCATGGTGACAGACCATGGCGGACGCTGCAAGGGAGCTGGTTAACCACGGCTCTCTATTTGCGGGCACCTTCAGCAGCTGCTGTATAGGAGGGTGTAAAGGACCCACAGCCTTGCTGCAGGCTGTCAGTGCCATAGCATTTTGTAGGTGCTGGTCTCATTTTGTGAGACCTTTTGATTCTCTTTTTTTTTTTTTTTTTAATCAATCTCATGCCTTGATTAAAGCAAGTGTTATTCGTGCTTTTATGAGAAATATTTTAATATACATTTTAAATAAACAAGGGCCTCACACCAAAAGTAAAAATTTAATACTGATGAATTTAAAGATTGTCTTTGATTGGTAGAAATAACGATTGACTTAAGTAAAATATTTTGGCCCTTTTCACTCTTTATCAGATTCAAATCATTCTTTACACTAAAAAAGTAAAAAAGAAAATAAAAATAAACAACAATAATTGAAAACATTATTGTCCACAAATTTGTCATATTGATTCCTCATTATACAGTTCTGCGAAAATTAGGGTTAGGTAAATTGTTTAAGGTAATTTCAATATTGGTGCTAAATCGATACTTTTAAAACGGTACCAGTGCCTAAACCGATCATTTTGAGCCACAAAATTATCGTGGAAAAACTTTTTATTTGACAAAAAATGTTTTTAGCATTTTAATTGAACAATATAATTAAGTTTAAAGTATACATCAATTCATATTTTATATTAAATATTTAACTTGGTGATTCCTCTGCCTTTAAGTTGATTGTATGTGCACCATACTACGTGCTTTGCGTTCTATAAATTCCTAAGTAACAAGAACAAAGGCTTAACGTCGACGACGGTGTCCGTTTAGACATTGCATGACAACGTGTACCTATATGTCCCTTTGATGCACCCCTTGATGCTTCTTATGTCCTTGTCGCAGCACCAAAAATCATATGCTGATTCGGTCCAGGACATAGTGGTTAGGACATACTGGTTACATAGGTACCGGTGCCATATTGGCACTGAGTTTCGGTACCCAACCCTACTGAAAATGACTAAAATGCTGCCTCTAATGCATGCCAGGTTATTAAACACTTTGGATTATTAAATATGCATTCTTCAGACCTAAAGTTGTTCAGTTTATTCATTCCTTAATTTTCTTTTCGGCTTAGTCCCTTTAGTAATCAAAGGTCGCCACCGCAGAATGAACCACCAACTTATCCAGCATATGTTTTACGCAAGGGTTGGGAAACACCCGTACACTCCTTCATTCACACTCATACACTACGGCCAATTTAGCTTATTCAATTTACCTGTAGCGCATGCCTTTGGACTGTGGGGGGAAAATGGAGCACCCAAAGGAAACCTATGCAAACACAGGGAGAACATCCAAACTCCACACAGAAATGCCAACTGACCCAGCCGAGGCTCGAACCAGTGACCTTTTTGCAATGAGGCGATCGTTCTACCCACTGCCCAACGGTGACTCCCTGTTCTGTTCATATCCAATGCAAATTTTTCAATGCAAATTGATGAGTTTTGGAAAAATGTCAATTAAATCGATCTGAAACGATATTTCTTACTAAAGTTGTGCCAAGCTGTTTGAATTAAAATCATTTTTTATTAATTAATTAATTTATATACATAATTTCCCTACTGACAAAGATATCATGAAACAGAAAAGAAAGCCTGTGTACTCAGTCTGCATTCAGTCCTTATCCTTCAGGCCAATAAACAGCAGTCTTCATGACCGCATCAGAGGCCCTTTAAGCACTCGCAATATTTACTTTACAGCGTCACTTGATCTGGGCTCCAGTCCGTGCATCTTTGGGAGTTTACAGGCTGTTTTAAAGCGGGCCAGGAAGATGAGCCAAGCCCCACACTGGCAGTAGACAGCCACTGACGCCGATAGCGTCCCAGCACCCCTGCTTCACCCCGGCCCTGCCAGGACTCATCTGCACCCCTGCTGTACCAGAGGTTGCTGGAGTGCAATCATAAAATTCCACTCTCAACAAAACCGCTCGGGATAAATAGCAACAAAAGAGATCCAAATTAGAATCGCAATTGCACTCATTAATAGGTGTATCACTTTACATTAAAACTTGAGCTTGCTTTGGTGGTGGTCTGATGGATTAACAGCCACAGTAAACAAGTTTTATACATGCCCAAACTGTAAAAGCACATAGGTGATAAAGAAGTAACTGATATAAAGTGCTATTTTGAGGAAATCTATGTTTGTATACCAAATAGCAAGAGTTTAGATCTTATAAACAACTACTCATGGCCTCAAATGATTCAGAGTATTATAAATTGATATATGAAATTGAATCCTCTGGAGCTGTGTAGATTAAAAAAAAAAACAAAGTTGGACGTACAACTGATCCTGATGGACTCCTGATGAGATTAAACGTACTGAATTGATGTTGACTTCACTAGTAATGACAGTTGTTGCTTTATAAATGCTCAACAGTGGAATTAAATCTCCAGTTTCAGTACTCCTTTTTCCTTAGGGGAAATATTAAGAGCCGTTGATGTTTTGACCAAGCATCAGTGGATGCCATATGTTTGCGTTTTGTTTCAAGAGGAACACCAGGAAGTTTAATGTTATAATCAAATTCAGATACATAACAGTTAACAGGAAAAGGATGGACGGATGCCATGGAATGACAAAGAGCCTAAAGCAAGGAAGTATTTAATTTAGCTCCTAATATCTGACCGCAGTGCATTGAATCTTCACGTTGTCGTCTTCTGCTCCCCGCCAGATTTCACTCAGGTCAGCTAAGGAAAACATTCTCTCTTAATCCATCCACTTTTTGAAATTTCGACTAAAGCAAGGAATGTAGCACCTATGCACACAAAGCATTTAGAGGATTAAACGGCGATATAAGTTTTACAGGTCTGTCACGATAGGTATGCTTTATTGGGTAGCTTCATGTCCAGCTGATGGCGGCTCTTATGGTTTTAGAGAGCAAAATCATAATTTAAAGTACTTTTTGTTTTTGCCAGAGTCTGAATGAGAAGGTTTAGGTGAACGCTTTGGCGTAGTGAAAGGTCATGGCATGCTGTTCCAGCTGTTTGTTAACTCCGCTCTAAACTTTGTTGGTTGTGCACTCTACATTCCATGCCACTTTTAATCACCTACCCACCACTGCTGGTTATTAGCCTTCTCAGTAATCTTTGAATTTTATAGTCCATGCGTGTTTCCAAATAAAGCCACGTTTTGGCAGAGGCTCGTGATTATCTTACTGCACTTCAGGACATTAAACAAGTCATGGAAAGTTGCGTTTATTCAATTGAGTTCTCATTGATTTATTCAGATTTGTTTTTGTTTTTGTTTTTCCTACAGAAATGGTCGAGTGTGAACAGTCCACTTTTCCTTCCTCTCATACCGCCACGCTCTCCTGGGTTCACAGCTGTCGTGTTGACTTATGATCGTATTGAAAGCCTTTTTAGGGTCATCACTGAGATCTCCAAGGTGCCCAGTTTGGCCAAACTACTGGTGGTGTGGAACAACCAGAACAAAAGCCCACCTGAAGGTTAGTGTTACACTGTCGTTTAAACAAGTGATGCATAATGTAAGGTAGGGCTGCACAATATATCGTTTCAGCATTAATATCACAATGTGATCATTCGCAGTAGTCACATCACAAGTATACACAATATTGAGTCTGGATTATAATGATATAATATAATAAAATATATAATATAATAAGAATAAAAGTGTCTTTGAGTCTCGTGACTGTGTATTTAAAAGTATTCAGGCCTAAGAAATAGTACAGAATTTAATTGTTTATAAAACGAAGAGTATGCATTATTATTTTACATTTGATTATTCAACTACTGTATACCTGAATACAGTTTGACTCCTCGAAAAACAATCAAGCGCTCTATTTATTATCAGTTTCATTTTCTTATCTATTCTTGTAGGTTGTTTTGTTATATTTCATGCATATGCACTCCGCTGCAGAATTATCTCAGTCTTAAATTATAAATTCTTTCCAAAATTATTCAACACGTCTAGTTAAATTGTATTCATATCGCAATATGTTTTGCAGAATAAAAAAAATAGTGCAATGTTAGATTTGTCCAATATCGTGCAGCCCTAATGTAAGGGATAATGTACTTCCAGGTTGTTTTGCGAAGTAGACTAAGTCAAAGTTGGACTTTAAATACAAGTTTTACACATAGGTGTCTTGTATAACAGTGAAAGGGATTATATTGAGATAACAAATGTCTAGATTTTCATGACACAGCTTCCTCTCGCGTAAGTGAAGTATTGGACGAAAATATAGATTATTTTTATATAGAGTCTGAATATTTTATTGGCTTGCTAAACAAAAAGCATTTGTAAGAAAATGCAGACTATTCAAAGATTTAAGGGATATGGTACCAGTCGTATCATTTATACCACTCATCTTTTTACCTCATGAATAATTAGGTTTTTAATAATATTTATTTGAGATTGTTTTGGATTGTTATATGCATGACGTCTTCTTTTACAGTGACGTTTTGCTGTTCTGTTGATACTAAAATCCTTTTTTTTTCCTTTTTTTAAAGAGAAAATAAAATAACAGAAGGGAAAAAAAATTAATGAATAAAAACAAAGAACAAAGCAGTTGTTATATGGGTTACTAAATCAAGTCACAATACATTTGAAGTACATTATCACAAATAGTTTACACTGACATACTCAGTCCATTTTTGCAAGTCTATTTTTTTTATGTTTAGTATAATTAATATTTATTGCAGAGATGTAAGATTGCATTTGTAATAATAATTACAATGTAAGACTGCATTTGTAATAATAATTATATGACATATACAAATCTGGTTGACATAATTAAATGATTGTACGCAAAATATTGTTGAAATTAGAATATGATTAGCTCATCAAGTGCAAAACTTCTGTGAAGAAAAACCGTTCCTACCAACCATATAGTACTGACTTCAGTTACTTGGATGGGCCTGTTTGAGCAATGGATAACTAATCACTGGTGTGTTTAAGCAAGTACTTCAGGAAGCTATGAAGTAAATATGCGTGACACATTGTTTTGTCATGATCATGGAACACTAAACTTTACACAATTAAATATAAATATAAAAAATGTATTGGGTAACACTTTATTTTATGGTCCATTTGAGTATTAGTAGACTGTCTGCTTAATATCTGTTTATACTGCTCCTTCAACAGACATTTAACTGACTATAAGACACTTTGCAAGTACTTGTCAACTTACACTAACCCTAACCTCAACCAAACAGTCTACTTATAATTTAATGGTAATTAGTTGGCATGTATATGCAATGTAACAAGCAGACCATCAAAATAATGTGTGACTAAATGTAAATAGATTTTCATACTGTATTTATAATATGATACGTTGTAAATTAGTTGTATTTAAAATTAGCTTGAAGCTAATCAACATTAAAATGATTTAGATTTGTATTTTACAATGTATTCCAGTTATTTAAGAAATTATTTAATTTGAAAATGAGTATGTCTGCAGTGTTGTTCTGACAGCCTCTGTTATTAAACAATGAAAATGTGACACCAGGATGAAATGCAGTTGTGCAGCTCTCACAAAAGACATGAAACCACTGATATGGAACAGATGAATGATAAGCTAGTGAGTAGCCAAATCATGTTCCTCTTGAGGTCGGAGAATTGAAAGCATGATGTGCCTTGGTCTCGGGCCAAACCTCTCTGGTTTATCTTTCGATATGGAGTGAGAACCCAAACATTCGGTTCATCCACTGGCATATAGACGACCAAAAAAAGTTCTCGTTGACTTCTTATGAGCTGTTGAAGTCTGATTATTCCAGACTAGACGAATGTAGTGTATTTTAATTCATATTGATATATGGCCTGTTTTCACCAGACGTCCACCCTTAAACTTTATTGTCAAACTGAAAGGATCGTTTCCATAACAGTCTCCCTTTCTAACAGCTTTGGTCAAATTTATGGCCCATTAGACGTGTCAAAATAAGCTGATATTAGTAGTTATTTATTGTGGCTCTGACTCTAATGATACTGCCTAACAAGGCGATTAGCTATGCGTATGTTTATGAAGTCGCTAGGGAAAAGAAAAGAGCAATGGGGAAATGAACGTATCCTCTCCATAGATTTGAGTATTACCATTATGAAGGGAAATTCTTTGAAGTACACTAATGGTTTGCTGTTGCCTTTGATTAGAGGCGTCGCTGAAGCCAGGCTCGAGCTTTGTGACCTATTAGAATTAATAAGGTCTGTTCACGGGTCAACCTGGGGCTCAGGCCCTGATGAGGATGGATTTCCTCCACACCCTTTTCCAATCGCTGATTATGTTTGTTTATTTTCAGCAGCCTTATTGGCCCAAGTCTTGCCTGTTTGTCATTTTAATGAGGTGCTGGCCAACTCTGACAGTAGGATTGCGCTTAGAGAGATTCTCAAATGGCTTAATATACTTGGAGGGCTTTTATTTTGTGGTGTCACCAGGGATATACTTTGCTAAAGCTCTTTAAAAAATGCTCAAACATAAAGTCAGCCCATGTAAATTTTCAGTACAGGGCAAGGAAGTGATTACAGCCCATTAAAAAGCATTCACACAAGTTGCTTTGGCGCAGTCAAGATTCCTGCATTTTCTTATGGTGCAGATTTATGATGTGTGAACATCTAAGATTGCGCATTGTGCCACTCTGGATTTCGCTGGTAAGGGTTGGTTGTTGCAGTCTTGCATGTCTTTGTAGCCCAACTTGTCTGTGTTTGTTTTCATCTTAGTTGAACGGACTGTGCCAGGCTTGGATGTGGTGACAGTATCAGTTTCCTTGCATGTGAAGGGCTGGCTCTTCTTTTAGCCTTTGTCTGGGACTGGGAAGATTTTCCGGCAGTTAGGAAATACTTTTCTTTTCATTTCTTCTCCCATCATAGTTTGTTGTGTGATCTTGTGGACGAGCACTGTGGGCTGAACTGCTTTGGCCTGATAGAGATGAGCTCATTCCATATCTCTGGAGATTTCCAGGGTCTACACCCCAGCTTTGGGGTAGAGGTATCATAGCTGACTTTCAGTCTTAGGGTCTCTGTGTTTGAGCTCCACTAGACTCTCTCTCTCCTCAGTTTTATTAGGTGATGCTGTGCGTGCCATCTGTCTTCTGCGTGCTCTGAACTCCTCCCAAGCTCTTACACAAGTGAAAATAAAGAGCGTTGTATCTTCTGCCCTGAGAAGAATGCTAGTGTGGTCAGATTCATATGTGCTTTTGCTCAAGTGATGTGTTTAGATTTATCCACCCACGCTCTCTTTTCCACAGTTGCTGCCATCTCTCATAGTTTTTCATCTCCTCTGAAACCGACAGTGTATTATTATTAGCTCACTGTTTTCTTTCTCTCCTTCTCTCTGTTACAGAGTCACTGTGGCCCAAAGTCGCAGTGCCTCTTAAAGTGGTCCGCACCAAAGAAAACAAGCTCAGCAATCGATTCTTTCCGTTTGATGAGATCGAGACAGAAGCTGTCCTGGCCATTGACGATGACATCATCATGTTAACCTCAGATGAGCTACAGTTTGGATATGAGGTAGTGAAACCGTATACTACTTGCTATGACAATTTGCTTCAAGTAAGTTAGTACAATAAGTCTTTAAGTCCCATTAGATCGCAAATCAGTTGTAATCTAATATAACACATAACACTTTTTGAAAGCAGTTAATACTTTCATTTTCTGCTGAGGATGCATTAAATTGCTCCCAAAATGACTTCAAATAAACACTGGTCTATTCATCAAAGAGTGTTAGTTTTTTCCCCAAAAAAACATTAATCAGCCCATTAAAAATGTTTCAGAAAATTGTTTTTAAGCATCAAATTGATTCATTAGAATGATTTATGAAAGATCCGCAGTAAGAATTACATTTACATGTGCACATGTAATGGGTTTTATACATATATATATATATATATATATATATTCATATATATATATATATATTCATATATATATATATATATTTTTTTTTTTCATATATATATATATATATATTCATATATATATATATATATATATATATATATATATATATATATATATATATATATATATATATATATAAATGATTTTCTTGTCGGTTTAGTCCCTTTATTAATCCTGGGTCCCCACAGCGGAATGAACTGCCAACTTATCCAGCACATTTTTACGCTGTGTATGCTCTTCCAGCCGCAACCCATCTCTGGGAAGCATCCACACACACCAGAGCACCCGGAGGAAACCCACGCGAACGCAGGTTGAACATGCAAACTCCACACAGAAACGCCGGCTGAGCTCGAACCAGTGACCTTCTTGCTATGAGGCGACAGCACTACCTACTGCGCCCACTGCGTCGCCTATATATACTGTATATATACAGGGATGGGCAGTATTTATGATACATTTATTTCAAATACCTATTTTAAATACAAACTAGAAATTTGTATTTGATAGGGTTTATGAAAATGGGTTAATATTTTGTATGAAAATACCTTAGTGTCTTGTATTTTAGTTTTTTTTAATGGTGTAAAATACTTGAGAAGTCTACATGATGACATTATAAAAATGCAGCCTTTAATATTGCTGTTTTCTCAGTTATTTGCCAGTTATTAAGGCTAGACTAGAAAATTTATTAAAATTGATTAATGTTGAAGAAATTTATCATTGCTTGGAATATGGATGGAAATAATACAAACAACAAAGTCCTACAGTGGCGATATCTACAAAACTTTATTGGCTGATCTGCAGGTGCTCTTTATACGTTTTTAAATACAAAGTTTAAGTTACTGAGTGCGATGTTGACAGCACAACATTACATTACGTGTCTAGGCTGCATTGAGCTGTATTCTTTCTTTTTGGCGTACCTTCATATAATATGATCTGTGTAATGTGTGTACATGAAGGAAAGTTTGATTGGACAATCTCATTTTAATAGCATTATGAGGCTGCATGAAAATGTAGTTATTGAAAACTGAAAGTGAAAAATCAGCTTTACAGGAATAAATTTAAATGTAAATATAGTAAAATAAAAAGGAATTGTTTTAAATTGAAATAATGTTTCACAACTTGACTGCTAAGCGTAAGAGAAAAAAAAAAGATTTTACTGACCCCATCACTTTGAAAGCTCTAATTCTAACAGACCAAAAGTAGTTTGTGAATTATGATTAGTTATCATGCTATTTGGGGGAAATAAATGCATTTCAGTTTGGTTTGTGTATGAACAAAGCAAACAAATTACAAGGCTAAAAATGCTTTGAAATTTAGTTGACAGCTAAAAACATTAGCAAACTTAATTTGTTTTAAAGAAAGACATTTTTCATTCTTTTTACATGGTAATGTAGGATGCTCTGGATGACCAACTTATATCTTGATGGTGCAATATATTCTACTGAAGTAGTTTTTTTTTTTTTTTTAGCCACATTCACTGAATAGGCATTATTAGGGACCGAGCACCGAAACGGTGCGTAGGCCCTATTGGAATTGCTCTGTTTATTATTATTAGGGACCGAGCACCGAACGGTGCAAGGCCCTATTGGAATTGCTCCGTTTATTATTATTCTTCTTCTTCTTCCGCGGAATGAATCGCGGTTTTGAGGGGCTAAACATGCCCGAAAACTCACGCAACTTTGCACACGCCTCAGAAGTGGCGAAAATTTACGTTTGTAATGGGCTTCGGAAGTGGGCGTGGCAAAATGACTCGACAGCGCCACCTAGAAAAATGAAACGGACGAGCCCCCGATATACGAATCACGCACATGCACGAAAATTGGCACACACCTTAAACACGCCAAAACATACGAAAAAGTCTCTTGGAGCCATATCTCAAACCCAACAGGAAGTCGGATATTTTTAACTTCCTGCGGCGAAAAAGTGGCGTTTTTGCCATTTCCAGGCGTTGTATTTTAACGAACTCCTCCTATGGATTTTATCCGATCGACACCAAAATTGGGTTTTGTCATCTAAAGGCCTTGGCGATGTTAATTTGCGAAGCTTTAGAGTTTTCGTCGATGGGCGTGTCCGTGGCGGCCTCTCAAACTTTGACGATTCGCCACAAAACAGGAAGTCGTTATAACTCAGGCATGCATTATCCGATCTGCCTTAAATTTCACACGTTTAATAAGAGTCCTGACCTGAACACGTTTACATGCCCATATCCAGATACAGTTATAGCGCCACCTGCTGGCCACAGGAAATGACATGTTTTACACTGTAACAAACTCCTCCCACAAATTTTTACGTATCAGCACCAAATTTGAGTGGCGTCATCTGAAAGCTCTATCGGTGATATATTGTGAAGATCTAGAGTTTTTGCAGAAGGGCGTGTCCGTGGCGGCATGACAAACCTCAACGCTTCGCCATGGAACAGGAAGTCCTCATAACTCAACCACACAATGTCCGATCTGCCTGAAACTTCAGATGGTTGATAAAAGTCCTCTCCTGAACACATCCTCATAACAATAATGAAGTGGGCGTGGCAAAATCACTCGACAGCGCCACCCATAAAAATTAAACTGACGAGCCCCCGATCTACGAATCACGCACATGCACGAAAATTGGCACACACCTCAAACACGCCAAAACATACGAAAAAGTCTCTTGGAGCCATATCTCAAACCCAACAGGAAGTCGGATATTTTTAACTTCCTGCGGCGAATAAGTGGCGTTTTTGCTATTTCCAGGCGTTGTATTTTAACGAACTCCTCCTAGGGATTTTATCCAATCGACACCAAAATTGGGTTTTATCATCTAAAGAACTTGGCGATGTTAAATTGCGAAGCTTTAGAGTTTTCGTCGATGGGTGTGTCCATGGCGGCCTCGCAAACTTTGACGATTCGCCACAAAACAGGAAGTCATTATAACTCAGGCATGCATCACCCGATCTGCCTCAAAATTCACACGTTTAATAAGAGTCCTGACCTGAACACCTTTACATGCCGATATCCAGTTACAGTTATAGCGCCACCTGCTGGCCACAGGAACTGACATGTTTTACACTGTAATGAACTCCTCTCACAAATGTTATAGTATCAGCACCAAATTTGGGTGGTGTCATCTGAAAGCTTTAGCGATGATATATTGTGAAGATCTAGAGGTTTTGCAGAGGGGCGTGTCTGTGGTGGCATGACAAACCTCAACGCTTCGCCATGGAACAGGAAATGCTTATAACTCAACCACACAATTTCCGATCAGCCTGAAACTTCACATGCTTGATAAAAGTCCTCTCCTGAACACATATACATGCCAATATTGAGTCAGTCATAGCGCCACCTAGTGACGGAAGGAATTTTGGCTTATAACTCAACCACACAATGTCCGATCAGCGTGAAACTTAACATGGTGAATAAAAGTCCTCTCCTGAATACATCCACATAACAACATTGAGTCTGTCGTAGCGCCACCTGCTGGCAGAAGGTAGTTTTGCTTACAACTCAGCCCCACAATGTCTAATCTGCCTGAAACTTCACATGGTTGATTAAAATCCTCTTCTGAAGACATCAACATATCAACATTAACACAGTCAAAGCGCCACCTGCTGGCAACAGGAAGTTTGGCTTATAACTCAGCCAAACAACGTCCGACCTGCCTGAAAATTCATATGGTTGATAAGATTCCTCTACTGAAGGCATCTACATACCAATCTTGAGTCACAGTCATAGCGCCACCTGCTGACAGGAGGAAGTTTGGCATAAATGTGTGATTTTCTCGGCTTCTTTATATATATCGGCTTAAATATTATTGTTCGCTGTTCTCTGTCGTCCTGAGGCCACCGGGCGGCGGTGAGCCCGGGTGCGAGGTCCCTATCATCGCTGCTTGCAGCTTTAATTCTTCTTCTTCTTCTTCTTCTTCTTCTTCTTCCGCGGAATGAATCGCGGTTTTGAGGGGCTAAACATGCCCGAAAACTCACGAAACTTTGCACACGCCTCAGAAGTGGCGAAAATTTACGTTTGTTATGGGCTTCGGAAGTGGGCGTGGCAAAATGACTCGACAGCGCCACCTACAAAAATTAAACGGACGAGCCCCCGATATACGAATCACGCACATGCATGAAAATTGGCACACACCTCAAACATGCCAAAACATACGAAAAAGTCTCTTGGAGCCATATCTCAAACCCAACAGGAAGTCGGATATTTTTAACTTCCTGCGGCGAAAAAGTGGCGTTTTTGCCATTTCCAGGCGTTGTATTTTAACGAACTCCTCCTAGGGATTTTATCCGATCGACACCAAAATTGGGTTTTGTCATCTAAAGGCCTTGGCGATGTTAAATTGCGAAGCTTTAGAGTTTTCATCGATGGGCGTGTCCGTGGCGGCCTCGCAAACTTTGACGATTCGCCACAAAAGAGGAAGTCGTTATAACTCAGGCATGCATTACCCGATCTGCCTCAAAATCCATACGCTTGATAAGCGTCCTGACCCGAACACGTTTACATGCCAATATCCAGATACAGTTACAGCGCCACCTGCTGGCCACAGGAAATGACATGATTTACGGAGTAACAAACTCCTCCCACAAATTTTATCGTATCAACACCAAAATTGAGTGGTGTCATCTGAAAGCTCTAGCGATGATATATTGTAGAGATCTAGAGTTTTCGCAGAGGGGCGTGTCCGTGGCGGTATGACAAACCTCAACGCTTCGCCATGGAACAGGAAGTCCTTATAACTCAACCACACAATGTCCGATCTGCCTGAAACTTCACATGGTTGATAAACGTCATTTCTTGAACACATCCACATAACAATATTGAAGTGGGCGTGGCAAAATGACTCGACAGCGCCACCTAGAAAAATTAAACGGACGAGCCCTCGATCTACGAATCACGCACATGCACAAAAATTGGCACACACCTCAAACATGGCAAAACATACGAAAAAGTCTCTTGGAGCCATATCTCAAACCCAACAGGAAGTCGGATATTTTTAACTTCCTATGGCGAAAAAGTGGCGCTTTTGCCATTTTCAGGTGTTGTATTTTAACGAACTCCTCCTAGGGATTTTATCTGATAAACACCAAAATTGGGTTTTGTCATTTTAAAGCCTTGGTGATGTTAAATTGCGAAGCTTTAGAGTTTTCATCGATGGGCGTGTCCGTGGCGGCCTCGCAAACTTTGACGATTCGCCACAAAACCGGAGGTCATTATAACTCAGGCATGCATTATCCGATCTGCCTCAAAATTCACATGTTTAATAAGAGTCCAGACCAGAACACGTTTACATGCCAATATCCAGATACAGTTATAGAGTTTTCGCAGAGGGGCGTGTCCGTGGTGGCATGACAAACCTCAACGCTTCGCCATGGAACAGGAAGTCCTTATAACTCAACCACACAATGTCCGATCTGCCTGAAACTTCACATGGTTGATAAAATTCCTCTCCTGAACACATCCACATAACAATATTGAGTCAGTCATAGCGCCACCTGCTGGCAGAAGGTAGTTTGGCTCATAACTTAGCCACAAAATGTCTGACCTGCCTGAAACTTCACATGGTTGATTAAATTCTTCTACTGAAGGCATCTACATGCCAATCTTGAGTCACAGTTATAGCGCCACCTGCTGGCAGAAGGTAGTTTGCATTATAACTCAACCACACAATATCCAATCAGCCTGAAACTTCACATGGTTGATCAAAGTACTCTCCCGTGCACATCTACAAAATTATATTGAGTCTCTCATAGCGCCACCTGCTGGCAGAAGGTAGTTTGGCTTATAACTCAGCCACACAATGTCTGAACTGCCTGAAACTTTACATGGTTGATTAAATTCCTCTCCTGAAGACATCTACATGCCAATATGGAGTCACAGTCATAGCGCCACCTGCTGGCAACAGGAAATTAAATATAACTCAGCCTAACAATGTCTGATCTGGCTGAAAATTCAAATAGTGGATAAGATTCCTCTACTGAAGGCATCTACATGCCAATCTTGGGTCACAGTCATAGCGCCACCTGGTGACAGGAAGAAGTTTGACATAAATTTGTGATTTTCTCGGGTTCTTTATATACATCGGCTTAAATTAATATTGTTCGCTGTTCTCTGTCATCCTGAGGCCACCGGGCGGCGGTGAGCCCGGGTGCGAGGTCCCTATCATCGCTGCTTGCAGCTTTAATTCTGGAGTTAATTCTCTTCCCTGTGCATAAGATGATGCACCAGAAGTATCCCAGTACCTTTTCTGGAATCAGTCCTACTTCATGTTGAGCTTACACATGCAGTGCAGGATTTCGGAACTCAACTATTGTCTGCGTTCGGCATCTCAAAGCATTCCTTACAGTTGATGTCTCCATATTTATAGTTGAGGTTTTTTTAATATGTGAAGGACGACAGGACAAGCAATGCTGTCCATGGCTATAGGCTTGCCTTCAACTCACCTGCAGGCATTTATACACTATTGAGAGAATGAAGCGTAATTTATGGATAATTGTATGAAATGGAAGACAGCTTTAGTCATGGCTGCCTGGCTAAAACACTAGCTGCTTATGCCGCTCGGGAATGACATTCGAGAATTCCTTCATCACGTCCTGTTAGGCCTGCCTGTCATTTTTGGGATTAACAAACCATTAGACCTAAACTTTATTGATTTAACCCTTGATATGCAAGGTTTAGCATTCTTTGAAAGCAGTTTTATTTGAGTTGACTTTAATTGATGATTCTTTATGGTTCTAGCATTTGTGATGCTTTTATGTTTTGTCTTAAATAGGATCTGTGTCTCTTTTTGTAGGTATGGCGTGAGTTCCCTGACAGGCTGGTTGGATATCCTGGTCGGCTCCATTTATGGGATCATGAAATGGGCAAATGGAAATACGAATCTGAATGGACTAATGAAGTATCCATGGTCTTGACTGGTGCTGCTTTCTACCATAAGGTACAGTATAAATTCCCCGTCCTCTGTGTCTGTGTCTTATTTGCAATTTTAAACCCTCATTGAGATTTCAAATATTAAATTGCTGATGTTATGTTTTGCCAGAAACATTTTATCACTAGTTTAATGTTTTGTTTCTCCAGTATTTCAACTATCTCTACACCTATAAAATGCCTGGAGACATCAAGAACTGGGTGGATGCTCACATGAACTGTGAGGATATTGCTATGAACTTCCTTGTGGCCAACATCACTGGAAAAGCACCAATAAAGGTAACATAAACTTAAAGTATAATACAATCAGTTGTGTTCTGATAGCACACGTTTATTTTGGGTCTACAGAGAATCTAAAAAATAAATAAATTGTGCGTTTATGACGTAATTCACATAGGTGAGTGGGTATGATAAACCACCTGTAGAAACACATTTCTCAGTATACAAAAAACACTACCCCTTCTTTACGCTAGCGTTAATTTTCTGAGCACAAACAGTTCTGATTTTCCTCAATTGTAGGTCGCGTTGGACAAAAGTGTCAGCCAAATTACTAAATGTAAAATGTAAATGGAATCTAAGGACAAGATGTTGCTTGCTGCCTTTTTTGTTTTTACTTACACAAACTTGTTCCTTTAGTCCACTCACATCAAACAAATATGAAAAACTGAATTCTTAATGTTACTGACACATATACTACTATTCAATAGCTTCCCAAAAGCGTCTGCTAAATGACTAAATAGTTTGGGGTTTGTTTGAATTTGACAAGTTTTGTTAAGAGATGTGTCTTATTGTTGCTAAGGCTTTTTTAAATTAAAAAGTCTGAATAAAAAATATAGAAATAAAAAAGTATTATGTAAAACCGCTTTTTTTTCTATGTTGATATACTTAAATTTTTTTATTAATTGCAGTGATGACAAAGTCAAATTTACAGCAGTCAATTGTCCAGTCTTTAGTGTCACATGACTCTTTATCGTTCTGACTTTCTGACTTGGTTTTCTAGAAACAGTTAATTTTATCATATTGTAAACAGTTGTTGTTAAAATGTTGGTAAAATCAGCATTATTTTTTCATTGTTTCAACAGAAGGTTCTGCATTTACTAAATTTTAAATGTAAATCTTTTGTCGTATATACTGTACGTAAAGGTTGGGTCGATAGACAATGCCATCTCCGATGGGCGATAGACATCACGATGCTGAGCCAACATGGCTATTCTTCGTTCTTCCCCATCGCAGCAGCAACCCATTTGTGAAAAATACACACTTAGGCCCTGTTTACACTAATATGTCTTATTCTTTAAATGACATTTTAGAACGAAAACGATCCACATCCACACTGGCGTTTCACCTTGCATTTCTGAAAAGCCCTCCATCCACACTATACTGCTGGGAACGCACATCACGTGACCACAAACGCACACACACTCTGTCATGCGCTGCAGCGTATCCAAGCATCTGATCTCCAGCAGTCAGCGGGTGCTTTGAGCACAAAAACAAAGAGAGCAGTGCACGTTTATCAAGGATGTACTACTGGATCGCATTTCACTATAGTTGTTAAACATGATATTTAATTCATCTTGTCTCTATTTAGTGACTCTTTGGTCTTTTGAATCTATCAGGTAACGTGTCACAGCGTCAGTGCACTGCTTTAATGTTTCGCTTTCATGCTTGTACTTAGTAATTTTAGCAAAACCTCAGATACTGTAGTTGGTTCCTGTTGGTTGTTCACCTTTTTGACCAACCAGGTTTGTCGATGCCATTATAATGACACAGATCACTCTGCCTATTCATGCTAGAGTCCCATGGAAAAAGTGATTGACAGATGGTAATTTGTGTGTAACTTATTATTTATTCATGGTTTGGTTATGGGTAAAACAAAGACCATGCGGGTCAGGTAGTGGAATCTGTAGGCTACAAATAATTAATTTATTATGAATTAATGAATTATTCATAAATAATTAATTCACTGCCACCTACGACGACGATGCTATCTTCCATTGCAATGTTTCACCTTAGATATCAAACCATGCCAATTGGTCGACATCACCCAACCCTAATATACATGTCCTTAATTCAGCAACTATATACATTAAAAGTGTGGTACTATATACTAAATAAGTGCTATATAATAAAAGTTCAGCAAGTTTATTTCCTTTAAAAACAGATGTTGCTTGCCCCAAACCTTTGGATTCTGATGCCTTTCTTTTTTACAATAAACAAATCAAATCACATTTAATTTGGTGAACAAGTTTACAACTCTTGTATAATATTATTATTATTATTATTATTATTATTATTATTATTATTATTATTATTATTATTGGGACAGTGCTTTTTGAATCACCTGTAGTCTAGCACCAGCATGAATTATTAACACTGGAACACATTAATCTGGTGTTAAAACAGCAGATTATTAAAACTGCCATTTTAGCATACATACTGACAAACAGGTCACAATAAAATTGCATAAAATAATGAAAAAAAAGCATTGTCTATGAAATAAATGAGGGCGCTCCCTAAAAGAATGTGGCCGTCCTGACAGCGTGCCCTGGTGCTCTGTCTCTGATCAGCTTTCGCCCTTCTCCCCCTCTAGCCTATACAGTCTTAGGTCTACAGTGACTCTGTCCAGGTGCTGTTCGGCCTGTAAAGGCCTGGCCTTAACCTCTGTTATCTGCGTGTCACTGTCTGCCTCTCTCCTGTGTGCTCTGTTTTCATAAACTCACTGGGGCACATTCATTCTGCCGTCAGTTACGCTGTGAACCTTCTCCCCTCTCTCCTCCACATCCCCACATCACACACACCTCCTGGTGCTCCCACTGTGGAGAGTGTCAGTCAAGTGTGTGTGTGTGTTGAAGGAGGGATGGGGCAGAAGGGTCGTACATCATTGGTCTAATGAGCAAGGCAGATACGGTCATTTAGCTAGGCCACGGGCATGGACGGCTCTCTCATTACATCTGACTTATATGACCTGTCATCAAGTCATCTCCTCCCACTCAGCTCCCAAACACACACACACACTTCAGAGAGGCCCATCACTGCAGTTCCAGCTCATTATTAAAACAGCCTTATCAATGTTTTGTCAGATTTTGTTGTTTTTTAATATGAGAACTGTGTCGTGATTTCTCAACCTTAAATTGGGAGCTACGGGCACATGTTTGAGTTTTGTGAAGTCTGCTTTGTAATGTCGAACATGTCTTTATTTTTGATAGTCATGTTTATTTAGGAGTGTGTTCAGTAATTAAGACATTATATAGCAGATTAATAGTGAATTTTACATGAATACTCTAAAAAGCAAAATGTAGTTATGTGCATATTTAATACATTACAGTCTCTATATTTCAGTATTTTATGTAGTTGTAGCTGTAGTGTTTTACAAGTGAGATTTTTATGGACATTTTCATGCTTGATAAGGCAGTTGTTATGCAGCTTATCTACATTTGTGTATATATTACACACCTACAAACTTCCACTGCATGTTCAAGAGTGTCAAACAGTAGCAAACCAACAGAAGACCTACCTTTTGCATGTCAAGCCCTTAACCATTTCAAGAGAAATGCAGAGAAGAATGGGAATATTGTCAACATAAACAATGGGAGATAAATCCTGTGGTGGTAAAATGTGTATCTACCATTTTACATTTCTAATGGTGTATATATGATGTATCATATAATGATCATATATTTTTTTACACCAAGTACCATATATAAAGAAAGTATTTGTTTCTCTAAGTACCAGATATTAGTGATACAGTAGGCCTAATTATTCAGCTCCTGCACAGTTAAAAAACAGGCAGTTTTATTCTAATAAGAATATCTATTATTGTCAGACACTTTAAACATGTGTATAAATACAGTTTAAACATTAACAATTCTTCCTCAAAGCTTCAAATATGTTAAAGCTGCATGGGTATTGCATGCATATTACCTTACTAATGATAAAGAATAGGGAAATTCCTGAGTTTGCAGTAACTGAAATGCCAACAGAGTTTATCTGCAAAAGCGCCTCTCTGGCAGGTATCTGGCCTACTATTTTTATTTTACATTCTTATGCAGACCAGTTGTGTGCACTCCTTGTTATATCGTTTTTTTCATAATGTTTTTTTTCATGAGCACTACACATTTTTTTGTCTGTCTCAGCTCGAGCCATTGCGAGAAGCATGTTTTATTTTAGCAGCTCATGACAAGATTCACAAAACATTCTAATCACACTGGTGTGATTGTATGTGTGGAAGGCTTTGTGTTTTAAACATTTTTTTACTCAGTGATTCCTCTGCATACCACTAGAAGGAAGACTGTGTACCATGACTCAAAAATTACAATTCTGTCACAACTTAGCATCATGTTGTTCCAAACTACTGACATGTTCATAAAGATACCAAAACAATATTTTAAAAGATACCAATTAATATTTTTTGTGTGTGTCTTGAGTGTTATAAAGCTATTAATGTCCACAAAAACAACTAAACTAATGACTTGTAATTTTTTTGTCTCTTGAGTGTCAGTTCAGGGTATACATTAACAAGAGCACTTTGTGCTGATCTATAATCCAGATGCCCACATGCTGCTTCCTTTGTTTAAGACAAAGTGTGAGCGCATCTGGGGTATACCTCAGCTGCTCGACACACATACAGAGCACAGTGAAGAGAAGAAGCGGTTGAATGGACTCTATGCACGAACTCTGAGTTCCTCATTGGCCTGAAACCCGTCATGCTGATCTCTCCTGTCAGTTCATCAAGTCATTATTTTTGTTTTTTTGTGCGCACAGAAGAATTCCCATCATGATTGAACCACTAGACTATTTAAGGATGAGAATGTTCTTATTTGTTAAATGTTTATTAATTGAAAACTAAATCAATTTTCGCTCTTAGATTAGGCTTGATGTGGTATGACAATTAATTTAAATGCAGCAACTTCACAAAAAAAGCTAACAGCTACAGTTTTGTGTTCATCACATTTTGTTTTTCTTACTTTTTTATAGGTTACTCCTCGGAAGAAATTTAAATGCCCGGAGTGCACAGCAATTGATGGGTTGTCCTTGGACCAGACACACATGGTGGAGAGGTACAGTATAACATACAGTATATTTGGATTTCCTTTTGTTGGCATATGAAATACATTGTGGGTTTTTTCAGCATTGGCTTATTGTAGCGCAGGAGATACGTTACTGTGCTCTTAGATCAAAACTTTCAAATTCACTGGACCTTAAGAATTGTTCCTTCTCAAACAACTGTGACTTTCCTCTCTGTCAGGCATTGACCACATATCATTAATTCATTCTGTTTCAGTTCAAGTTTGAACCAGGCTAAGTATTGAAAAGGCTTGAATTGATTCTCCTTGAAAATCACAACCGTTTCCTCATCCGCTGAAGCATAATCAGTCTTGATGATTGGTTTCATTCTTCCACTCTGTTTTTGAGCCTGCGAGAGAATGTTTGACCTTGAAGTGAATATGGAGTGGTAGCAGCCAATCAGAGGCTCCTCTGACTCCTGAACCTCTCCAAGGGTCACACTTGTTTAGATTGATGAAGGGTTTCCTGCCTCTGGTTATGCTTCTCTCAATACGTTTCCTGTCATAAGTAGAGAGTCTTGGGAATGCGATGTATTTTAAAAACAAAAAACGGTTTGTTTTACACTCTGTGGGTACAATTGAAGGCAAAGTTATTAGCCCTCCTGTGAAATTTTTTAATTTCCCAGATAATGTTTAAGAGAGCAAGAATTTTTTTAAGTGTTTTTCTTTTGGAGAAATTCAAATTTCTGTTGGTTATAAATAAAGCAATTTTTAATTTTATTTTAAAAATATGTCATTTTTAGAGTGTTATTTTTATTGGCTGCAATCCGAATCACTGTTGTCCTGTAAATTGCCCTATTAACATAGTTTACCATTAAAATAGCGTTTAAGCTGAATGCTAGTGTCTTGTAAAATATCATTAGGGTGTCTGCGGAGTCTTAAATTCTTAAATTTCAAAATCGAAATTTTAGGCCTTAAAGTCTTAAATTCAGTAAAATTGTGTCTTGTAGGTCTTAAATAATTTTTAAACAAGTTTTAATTTTCTTATGCCCATGTAAAACTACCCATTCGGGCAAACTAGGCCTGTCATGGTAGTCGATATATTGACTTGAGCAATATATGAAGATGAGTGTGGTTAATTTTGGAGGCGTGATATATATTCTACATTTTATATTAAGAAATTTAAGATGATAATGATGATGATGATGATGAGGTTGCATAATATAAAAAGTTATGTTTTTTTTTTTTTTTTTGTCAAACACACTGCATCTGCTTTCTGTGGAAGGCAGGGCTTATGCAGCATCTCCTCCACGCATGCTGCGTACACACACACAGACAGAGAGAAAGAGCGGATAGTGGAGGTGAAGAAGGCAAGACGCGAACCCACTGATTCATTTTTAGGAACCACAGTCAGTTAGGATAAACAAGTCGCGATGTACTTGGTTTCAAAGCCACAGTCTTCAGCTCTGGTGTGCGAACATTTTGGCTTTAAGTTGAATAAAAAAAGGAGATCCCGTTAATGTGAGCGAGCTGAAATGTTGAATTTGTTTCAGAACAGTGGCAATGAAAAAGCGCAACACAGCTAATCTTAAATCACACCAACAACATAAACACCTCAACTATTTTTTAACATGGGAACGAAAACTTTAGTTGGTACTGGAGTGGTCTTCCGGACAGTTAACTATAATGGTTTTATTTACCTGCCAGTGCAAATATAAATGTGATAGCGCGAAACTGCACACACTTATAGACAGGCACCATTATTTAGCTAAAGAGATGCATCCATTAAACACATCACACTATTATGTTGTAAAAATTTATTTTTTATTTTTTATTAGTGATATAAGTTATAAAGTGCCAATAATTTTGTTTATCGCAATTAATTTGGGTGCAATATATCACCCAGCAAAAAATAGATGTCGTGACAGCTACTGTAAAGGACCAACACATCCAATCACCAACAGTTCATCAAAACAAAACTTTTAACAAAACTCTTTTTATATCTCTATTTACCAATACGGTTCAATTATGGTCCTTACAAAAATATTTGCTAAAAAAATTCTCAGTGTATTTATAGCCTATATGTGGTGAGGATGCTGACCTGGACAGACTGTTGTTCTTACATGTAGTTTATTATGGTTTTTAAAGTGTGTTTTTTTTTTTTTTTTTTAAAGAAGTTGATAACTAGAGTTTACTTGTTTTGACAATATATTTAAGACATGTGGCTAAGAAATAACTTTAACCACAACAGTTTTGCACATTTCTGTAGTTTTTTTGCCCATCATAGAATCTATGTATTTACTTCTTTAAATTTATATTTATTCAGTTTTTATATTCATTTCAGTAATAATATTGACTAATATGAAAATGTTCATATGATTTTTTTTACAATACAGTTTGTAAAGTAAGAATATCTGTATTTTAGTAGATATATTATATAAGAAGCTTGCTTTGTTTACCAATTAATTGGATCTAATTGGATTTGCGTTGTAAACATTAACTAATTTTTTCATATATGAAGTTTTTAGTTAATACTCCCAAAATGATTCCACATAAATTTGCAGTTTTTTTTTTTTTACAAAATTCTAAACAGAGATAGCAAAAAAAATGTCTGCAGATTCTGTCTGGCCCTAGAAATAACTTATTATGATATAGTATACCATAAAAAAAATCCTGTATAAGTTTGAAATTCCTTTTATTATGGTCTTAAAAAGGTCTTAAAAAGTCTTAAATTTGACTGTGAACTGCTTATGAACTGGCATCATGGCAAAGACAAAATAAATTAGTTATTAAAACAATTATGTTTAAAAATGTGTCAAAGTCTGTACGCCATTAAACGGCGCTTGGGGAAATATTTTTTAAATAACTAAAAGGAAAATTTTGCTTTTAACTGTGTCTCAGGATTCAGGCGACTGTATAGAAGTCTCGTTATCAATTCTTTTTTTCAACAGAAGGCAAATTTCCCGACATCAGCAGGATTATCCACATTGCCCTATTCCTCAGCCTCTTTCTTTTTTCCTTCCAGGTCTGAGTGCATAAACAAGTTCGCCTCTGTGTTCGGCACCATGCCTCTGAAGGTTGTCGAGCACCGTGCTGATCCTGTACTCTACAAAGACGACTTCCCAGAGAAACTCAAAAGTTTCCCCAACATTGGCAGTCTGTGACACTACCACAGCGACTCTTTCCCACCACTTATTTTTTTTCTCTCAGACAGGCTACGGGCACTCCGGGATTTCTCTTTATGTTCCTTATCTGACCTAATGACTCTGGAGGAGTGTTGTTCCACTGTTTTGTGATGGGAACTCACACACTGTATAACTTATTATGTTTTCACTCTTGAGGACAGTTGCTGAAACAACAGTTGCGACGCATCAAAGCAGTGGATGATTTCTATGAGGACTGGTCACAAGCCGAAACCTTCCTTGTGGCTGACACCTGTGTATCTGTGTGAGAAAAGTGAACACTTTGAGGTGTATCACAATCCACTGGTAAACAGTGGAGACTATGTATTAATGTAATTTTACATTTAACTTTTTTATTTTAAAGATATGCATCATGCTGAACAAATTGTAGCATAACTTGAACTGAATATCTGAGATGTCGGAATTAGTTTGTACATGAGATATTGTTTTGCACAGTCACTGATTTTAATATTACACTTTGAGTGCTATCAGTTTGACATTTCATTTTATATTCAGTTGCTGACTTTTTGAATGTTGCTGGAGAAAAGAAAAAGTATTTTATATAAATGTTCGCTATTATGTCTTTCCTTTGTTAAAGCATATTTGCGTATTAATAGATATTAAAATACACTATTTGCAGAATTATATGCTGTACAGCTGATACGGTTATATACCGCAAGATTTCAAAGATTATTAGTCTCATTTAGGTTTCTCAGTTTCCTCCTTTGATTTGTTTTTTGTTTGTTTGTTTTTTTTATAGTAAGATGTATTATATGTAATAAACAGTGAGTGTGTAACACTAAAATATTCTAAGTATGAATGTGTATATGATTTAAATACTTTTTAAATTGACTTTTTAATGCCTTTGCTTAGTTTGCAGCATCTCACAATGTGAGTATTGCATTTTTAAGACTATTACTAAGATTCTATTACTTAAAAGTATCCTTAGTTTGGTTCAACAAGTGACTCTTCTCCTGGGTGATACAAGCAATCATCCTTTTCTATAATCTAAAAAAGTAATAGAATTAAATATGCACACTGAAATTTGATTGGTGAGAGATATTATAAAGTTTTCATGTGTCTATTTCACTTCCGAGTGTTGAAGTTCTCATGCTCATCCCTAACTCGAAGGTATGTTGACTTAGCGTAGTTTGGATGAATTGTCTTCTTTTTTTCCCCAGCTGCCTCTGTTGTCTGGGCCCAGAAGCAGATGTCTGAGCTCTTTTGAGTGATTTAGGTTCGGGAGCCTGCGCGTCTGAGATAAATTCATTTCATCTCCATGGGGAGTGAACTTGTGAAGAGAAATCTATTTCTGTTCTGACTCTTCCTGCGTGAAGAGAGTGAAAATCTGGTAAGGAAGTTTCAGCAACATGTTAAGTATTGGAAATGTCACTGAATAACCAATCGCACACAGAGAGTCAGATTATCTGCAGCTTGTGTTTTATACAGACCAGAGCTTTTATAGAAGTACAGCAATCAATAATACAGAATGTTTAAGAAATGGAGCACTAATCTTTGAGCTGAACATGACATTTAGGTATTCTGTAAAGGCAAAATCAATCACGTTTTAGATTTTACCTTTTTATATAAAGCACAAGCTGCATTCAGTTTAATTTTTAATGGATTGCAAATTATAAAAATGTAGCTACTAAAATAATGCACAGGAATGTTTAGTATGATTAGTTTTTTTTTTATTATTCATCTGGATTTAAACAAACAAAAATGAGCACACAGAAAATGTCATGAATGAAATTAAATGAAACATCCATAGTAGAATACCCAGCACCTGTATTTAGCTATTAACTTTAGATTTTTGTAACCCATTAACGGGAAATCCTAGTTAAAAGCACAATCTTTAGCCAATTGGAACTTTACGTTTTCAGTATATCTTTATTATAAGTTACATCAGACTCTGAGAACATTTTCTGTCATTTTTAAAGAAATGTTGCTGCTTTTTTATTGTCTTTGGAGCAAGTAAAACAAATAATACAGTTTGTTTTACAGAGGTTAAACAAATCTGAAAAAAGCAAACTCGCAACATTTACCAGCCCTCTGTACTTTACCAACATGTTCTCAGAGTTCTTGATAGCCAAATGAGTGCATACATTTTATAGTGATATTCCACTCAAATCCGATGTTCTCAAAGCAATTCAAACAATCAAATTGTAAGTGCAATAACTTACGGTTGTAAATCACACAATATATATATATATATAGAACATAAACAAGCTTGGATGTAAATAATTATTCAAAACGATTCAAAAGCCGTATGTTTAGCTTAAAGCCATCACAACTATTTTAGGTTCATTTACATACCCACAAATCCAAAACCTATCGCATTTTAACCCCAGACCCACAACAAAAGCAACGAAATACAACAAAAGCAAGAACCCTCAGTCACACATAAAATAATATATTTCTAATAAGGATATTTTTTACAAAAGAACGGCTCCAAGAGTTTTTTTTATGCAAGAAAGGAATCCAAAGAAAACCGTACACATGCAACCACACGCAAAAAAAAAGCATTATATTATTGTAGTACTTGGATATGCCTTCTTCAGTAGTATACGTTTTGAGAGATGGAACAGAAACGCAAGCATCTCTGTAACTCGTAGGCATCTTCAAGGTACCGTTTACCGTTATGGTACTTTACAATCCTGAACTATTCAATGACTATTTTACATTTATTTACCTTTGAACGAAATACAAGAGATTTAAAAGCAAATGTGATGACTTGGGTGATATGCAGATTAGCTCATTTTATGGTATGTAAATGTGCTGGTTCTACACAAACTAATAATAGTGTTGACCTAAGATTCGCTGATGCCCCTGATGGCTCCACTATAGTTATAGATAGGCAAACACACAGCCCAGGCTGCTCTGTTCTGTCACAGAATCCCTCTCCACAGATGTCTCAGTGTTAATTAAAAAGACTGCCAGAGAGCACGAGTGTGCAGTGACTCGGAGTCGCTGAGGACTGATGCTTTGGCTGGGTCGTCGCTGTTCAGCAAGGGGCTTTGAAAGAAGAGCCATGACAGCTGAAGGGAAGCATGAGCAAGGCATGTTTGTTTTGCATTTACTTCACACACAGCTGTGTGGATTGTCCTTTCCCAGAACACCGGAACACTTTAGTCGCTTCACCCTCTCACTAACCTCTTAAAGACCAAATCTATGCACTGGCAGAACTTCTCATGGTGGTCAATGAGGGCTGAAGGTTGAATTGCCTACTTTAGTAACAATTGGTAGTTTTAAGGCTTAAGGAATGGTAAGTTTACCGTAAGAATTACATGTTTACCATTTTAGGCACAGGTGTCAAATGCAGTTTTCGGGGAGCTGTAGCTCTGCACAGTTTAGATTCAACCCTAATTAAAGACTTCTAATCAAACTGAGTCCTTTAGGCTTGTTTGAAACCTACAGGTAAGTGTGTTGGAGTAGTGTTGGAACTTGACACCTGTGATTTAAGGAATGGTAAGTTTATTGGCATCCTCACCAATCCACATTAAGGTCCATTTTGACCACTATTTTTAATGCTTTAGCTTTTTCATCTAGGATGGATTGGATTCTGATGTCAGTATTTATTCAGTGTATCAGCTGGAGATAATTTGAAAGTGATGCCTTTGTTTCTATTTTTAAAATTAGATTGATTTGTATTATCATTGTAGATCCTTGGTCTGAAAGAGCATAAGAGCATAAGAGCATTAATGGAAATCCCATTAACATTATCGCAGATTTTTTTTTTTTTTCAGGAAGTGCATTTTGTGAGTTGAGGGATGAGATTCTCAGTCATGTGATTCAGTGAAGACTTCTGCAAAAATAATGAAGCATGGCTCAAACTTCAGGTAGCCTCTATACTTTGGATATCGTATAACCTCACCATTAGGTGTAAGACTCTAACGTGTTTCAATTAGTCCATTATGTATTTACAATATGTAATAGAATTCCAGTTTTCTGTCATTCTTAAAACAAACTCGATATGAAACATGATTCCATGTTGTGACCCCCCTAATCCAGGTAAGTCACTGCTCTGGTATTATAATAAAAAAGTTGTGTGTATATGTACATATCTCCGGGGATCCAGATACATTGCATAGCAGAAGGAAGGAAAGGAAATGTGGTTCTCATTTACAAATTAGAAATGGCTTCTCCAAGGGGCAGAACGTATCAAATTCGGCTGCAGATTTCAAACAGCTTTGTTTTACCTCATTTGAATCTGACTCTGGGAAAATCAGAAAGCTTGTACTACCTTGAAATGGGGCTTTCTATTTCTGTCACCTTAGTGAATGGCAAAGTCAGTAATTACATGCCAGAGCTCAGTATTGCTTCCAATCCGAATGGTGGTGGATGAGGCACAGATCGGCAAGTTGATAGTTATATTTAAGATGGCAAAATGAGAAGTACTGCCAATAAATTAATGAATCATGGCTCAAATTTCAGGCAGCCACAACACTGTACATTTTACACACCCTGGACGTAGAGATTGGGGCCAGGGTAGCTACAGAACAAACAATTGCTGAAAAGATGCAAAGATATTGCAATCTAAACAAATTCCACAACTCGTTTTGAATCCTTTACACATTGTAGATTGTGGTTTATTGTGATGTTTGACTTTCAAATTAACAGCTGCTATGATGGATCTGTATCTTGCCAAAAGGCTTTAGAGCAACTCTTTCTTGCAGTAAAATTGAAAAAGAAATTATAAGTGATGGATTGCGTTCTCGACCGACAATCCCACTCTTAATCTTTTGGTCATTAATTATGTAATATTGGGTTTGTACTGTGTTAAGGCACTTGTTAGACTGCTTGTACCACGGATACAATACGTTAAGGAACCAGGAAGCCTTCTTTAGATGTCTAGTTAGCTGTTTGGAAATAGGCTACAATGAGATTGTGAGAAACTCTGTATTGTGAATCTTGTTGAATTGGCATGTATGGAAAAAGGAATCTGTGACAGAACAAGAATTAATAAGTTTTGATATTGCTGAGCCCAAAGCCAGATGCTCTTAGATAAATTCATGTGTGTTTACAAATGGGACACTGGTGGCGGATAAGTGCAGTGTTTTTTTTTCATTCTTGTGTAATTCTTTTATGCATTCAAATGTCAAGTTTCTGTCTTCTTTCTTGTATTTCTTTCTTGTTTTAAAGCCAGAACATTCTCCGTTTTATGATCTCTGATTTACCCTTGTCTCTCTAGATTTCAGATCGAAATAAATCTCATGGTTTTTTCTATTACCCTTCATTGTCTTTATCAATCCACACACTCCTCGTTCGCAGGTCATGCGTTGGTGGCTAACTGATGTTCACATTTGCTCCTCCTCTTATTTGTTGAGGGACTTCAGAGATAACGTCCTGATGTTGGGGGAGTCATGTAGCCCAAGAGATGGCTGCACTGTGTTCTTTAGCTTTCATTCGCAGTGCTGCAATGCTGGAGGATTTCCGGTCGGGGTCCATGTTTAAGTCGTACCCATTAATGCCAGTGCCCATGCCTGGACTCCCAAACAAGCTGCCCATATGTGTCTGTCCCATGTGGCTTCCAGGACTGGGCACACCCAAGAAGTCAGACACTCCGCTAGCAGCATGTGGATGAGGTGGCATACAGGAAGTGACCGAGTCACATGGTACGACGCAGCCAGGCACTGGAGATGCTGCACTGCTGCCGCCTATCCAAGAAGGGTTCTGAATCTGCAACAAAGGCCAATGCAGAAGGTTAAGGTACAGTGTGTTTATGTTCTGCAATTTCAGCAACAATAACATGAAAGTAACTTATATTCATGAGAGCATTTATCAAATCCGACTTGGCTTGTTTTGAAATATTGCATTGGCGAAGGTGCAGAATCCTCAGTGGTACTCGACCTGGAGATTTATCAGGAGCTGTGAGGCATTCATCTGGTCCCGTACTGAGTGGGAGCTGCCTGCCTTGTGCAGAGGAGGAATGCCTCTGTCTCTGTACGCTCCTTCAACACCCAGAGTAACCTCCTCTGCTGAGCGGAGAGTGAATTGATAGGCCTGTGTTCTGCTCTGGGCCTGGGGAGGTGGGGGTCTGAGGGAGGGCTGTGGAGGGAGATGAAAGCCCTCTCAGGGAGATGCCCCAGATGTGAGCAAAGCAGCATTCCACAGCTGCAGGCGCGCTCCCCAAAGAGCCACCCCTGCCCTTCGACCCGGCCACATATTCATAATAAATCCAGGAGATTCTTTGGCTCTCCTGTGAAGGCGTGTCGTCTTCGGCCACAGCCCTCGTCTGACCTGACCTCCATATTGTGCTTCTTTAGGTCCCGAAATTGTCAGTGATACTCTAATCTATTTGTCGATTGTTAGAAATTCTCAAATAATAGGAAACTCAGACGACTCAAATGTTGTCAGAACTGATAGCATGTTTACCCTCTAGATGACCTGAGTTCCCAAAAATGCCCCAAATATTTCTTTATAAAACAGAATGGCTCAAATTTTGATCCCCCATGTTCATGTTTGAAATGGTAAATAGTTCTTTAGTACTATCTAAAAAAAATTCTAGCCTCCAGTGTTTATGATCAGTTATTTCACTTGGCATTTCAAGAGTTCACACATAGATATTTCTTGACACTATTAGCAGGTTTGGCATGCTGTCATGGGAAAGAACCCTGAGCTCGGAGATAATTGAGCCCATGGCTCCGGCCTGGTCAATAAGCATATAAGGGTGACCAAGATCAGATAGGTCTCTAGAGCTCCCCCTGGTAAAGGGAGAAAACGGGGGAGATGGGGTGGAAGGGGGGATTCTTCCAAAACGAAGAAAAGTTGGTAGGGTGAAATCGGTCTATTTATTGTAGGCTTGAATCAATCTGATTGGATTATTGCTGATTACAGATGAGAGGCCAGCCGTGATCAATCATATCACATGCTCTTCTCAAATTTTTTTTTTGTAAAAATTAATTTAAAAGAACATATTCTTTGCCATTTAATGGAATGGAATGGATTGTGTGTATTTATATAGCGCATTTATTGTGTATGGCTAAACACCCAAAGCGCTTTACAATCATTAAGGGGGGTCTCTCAACACCAGCACTGGATGATGCGACAGCCGCCACAGGACAACAGCGCCAGTGCGCTCACCACACACCAGCTATATCGATGGATGGGAATGATTCGGAGGCCATGATGGGTACAGGCAGATGGAGAAAATTTAGCCAGGACACGGATTACACCCCAACTCTTTTGAGAAGTGCAATGGGATTTTTAATGAGAGTCACAGAGAATCAGGACCTCGTTTTAACATCTCATCCGAAAGACCAATCTACACACTGAAGCCTGAGAATAATGAATTAAAAATTTCAGATGGCACTTAAAGGTTTTAAGATTCATTAAGGTAGACTGTGTTTTTTATAAAGCCAATGAAAATCAGTTACAAAACCTATTTTTTTTACATGTGTAATTATAAAATAGAGATTTTCTACACTGAAATCCACTACTTCAGTGGTGCTGGAATATTAAACTATTATTGGAACTATTTAATATGTACCAATTTCTCTTACATTTATTTTTTATTATTATTATTTTTTTTTACAGTTTGCAACTTTTATCAGCATTAATTGTTCTTAATATTCATCACTGATATTTCTTTGACTTTCAGCGCCAATGCTAAAGTGAAGACAGCACTATACCTGAGCGTAGTTCTCAGGCCGAGTGAGAAGTGGAAGTTCATAGGCTGTGGAGAAATGTGTCCGGACCTGTTGCATCTGTCCGAAACGCTCTCTCTTCCGCCACTTGGCTCTGCGGTTTTGGAACCACACCTGCAAGTAAGACATTAACTCTTAATCATGAGGCTATCGCATTAGCAAATGATTAAATGACTTCATGCTAGAAGGCCACTTGTGGCGTTACATCATAGACAGGAAAGGTTTTCTTAGTGAAGATTTATTGATGGAGTAATAAACATCCAATATCAGCATCATATTTTTACTTTGTATGTGATCACATTGTCTAGCTCATTTGGTATCATGTTGCAATTTTTTTGGGGTGAGAGAGTCTGTCCCTTCAATTGTAAGTCTAGAGCTCATGTAGGAAGCCCCTAGTCTGTATTATTTTTCAGCATCTTTTCCTGGAAACTGTTCAGTGAGACCTGGCCGTTGTTTGATGTTGTGGGAGCTGACAGATTGTGATGGCCTCCTCTGAGTTTCTTTTCTATCAGAGCCATCAGCAGCAGCAGGGGGCAGGGAGGGGAAAGCAGGAACCCGCCGGGGCCAGAGGCCTCAGAGAACCATGTCACTCCTCTTCCACCACCATTACAGACTCTCTTTGATGAATTAGGAGATTTTTAGTGAAAATGAAAATTCATTTGCTCACTCTGATGTCATTCTCGACCGGGGTGTGTTTCCCAAAACCATCTTTAGCCAAATAAGGATGCAGTTCTGTCATTACAAGCATAGTTTGTTGATTTGGCATTACCCAAATCCATTGTTCCAACGAACATTCGCAAACTGATTCGCAAACTTGTATGCTTGCAACTATACCTCTGGAGCTGTAGTTAGAAACATAGTTCCTGGCGGTGTTCTATTCCCAGTTGTCCCCCCTATGTCCTGTTCGTTTAGAACATTCTAACATTCAAACCTGGAATTATTAAAAATAAAAAAGACATTAAAGTAATCTCTTTTAGGTGTAACTTGCTTTCAAAGTATTTTTACAGTTCAGTTTAAGTGATCTTCATGTTTACAACTGCGCTCCCTTTGCAGTGCACTTTAAAAACATTGATGTAATTTTGAACACAATTGTGGCTTATGATTATTGATATTATTGATATATCATACCATTTCATGATATTAAAGTAGGATTTTCTTAATTTCCTAATAAATATTACATTTAATTTCTTAATAAATAGCCTCATTATTTATTATTCAGTTGCAGCTCATCCAGAACGCTGCAGCCAGAATTCTGACCAGAACCAGAAAATCAGAGCACATCACAGCTGTCCTCAAGTCTCTACACTGGCTCCCAGTTACATTCAGAATAGATTTTAAAGTATTATTACTGGTCTATAAATCACTAAATGGCCTAGGACCTCAGTACATTACAGATATGCTCACTGAATTCAAACCCAACAGACCACTCAGATCTTTCGGATCATACAAACTAGAAGTTCCAAGAGTTCAGTCAAAGCAGGGTGAATCAGCTTTCAGCCACTATGCCCCCCGCTGCTGGAGTCAGCTTCCAGAAATGATCAGATGTGCTCCAACATTAGGCACATTCAAATCAAGACTAAAAACACATCTGTTTAGCTGTGCCTTTACTGAATGATCATGTTTTTCTCTTCTTCTTCATTCTTTTATATCACATTTTACCTGTTTTTATGTTTTTTAATCAGTTTTATTATTTGTTTTTATTTATTATTTTTACTTGTTTCTTTTATTCTTGGTTATGTAAAGCACTTTGAATTGCCACTGTGTACGAAATGTGCTATATAAATAAACTTGCCTTGCCTTATTTATATGATATTAGAATGTGTTAGCTTTTATAAGTGATTTTATGTTTAAGAATAGAATATGTACTGTTCTCAATAATATTTGTGCCATTTATATATTTCAATTCATACAAAAAACAAGTGCATGTTTTTACCAAAACAAATATGGTAAAAATGTAAAAAAATATAATTTGCACAACGAAATTATGGGGTTCTTCTATAAAGAAGAACAGAGAAACTACGGATTTTGGGAAAAACTCGTCACTACATTGTTCTTTTCCCAAATGATGCATCGTACAATGATAGTTCAGCTACGAGTTTTGTCGTTGTTTGGGAAGCGCACCCCTGTATGATTTTCTGTTTTGGTGCTGAACTCATATGAATACATATTAATAATGCAATGAAAGGCACTGGGTTGCAATGTTGATTTGGTCCGCAAAAAGAGTTTGAACATCTTTCAAAATTTTTGAGAGGGGTCTGGATGCAGACCTGGTGCAGTGCAATCTGAGCTGCATCCAATGCTTTTTAATGCGCTCACCTAACCCCACCCCTAACCCTATCCGTCACAGTGACATTACTTACTCCACTGCTTGCATTGTGTCTGACATTGCATCGCTGAGTAATGCCATCTCAGCTTGCATCATAAAGGCTGCATCCAGATACTATTAAAATATTTCAAACTCACAAGTTTAAATGACATGAGAATAAATATTATATTACATAATTATTTTTTTTGGATGACCTATCCCTTTAATAAATAGTCTGAATTGGATTGTATCTGCATTTGCATTTTTTTTATTTTCTGGTTTTTCATAGTAAAACAATGCATTGTTTCCCTGAATAGATGGCTGTTATTTAAAGACCTGAGAATTAGAGAACAAATTACACAAAGTGATTTCTCATGGCTTGCAGTCTGAAGAGTTGCCAAAATTCCATTCTTTTAATCCTGGCTCTTCTCTGTTTAGAACTATCTGTTTATTGATTTGTGGAGTGGAAAGTTCTTTTTTTTTCTAGTGGAGACTTTCTTTTGTCTTGCAATCTCAATTCGTCACGGAGCTTGAACTTGCATCTTGGGATGGCTCTTTGGTCAATCAGTTTGTGGCTTTTGCATTCATTGCCAGCAAGATGTCAGCCTATCTCTCAGTGTAACCTGATAACACCTCAGCTCTGCTCGCACATAATGCACCGGTGGACATCAACATCCTTTTGGCTCCACATCATATGTTTGTAGAGCTTAACTAACTGCCTGGAGTAAAAAAGGGAACATTTGCTTTCTGAATTGCGCTTTTTTCCCAGTGATTATCACTCTTGGTGGCTTTCCACTAGCATCCTTGTGTAATGAAGCAATGATGTTGATACAGATGCCGTCTATTTAATATGCATTGAATGCTCTAGGATTTTTTTATTTCTGTTTTTATATCTACCTTTTTCTCAGACTGTCTTCCTCTCATAAATCTATGCGTGGAAGATGAGAGAATGAGAATAAAGTTCAAAATGGAGTTTGTTTTCATTTTGTGTTTAATTTCCTGACTCTTAAGCCCCTGGATTTCCATATCTGACTCTCCAACCCGGTAGACTCTTGTAGACGAGTGGGGGAAATTCTCTTGCTATTTTCTGATGATCCAATGCTGAGTTGTGTTGTGTATGCATGAACCAAATGTTCACTTTTGAACCTGATTGATGAGAAAAGAGACAAAAGAGGCTCACTTTATGGTATCTAAATCCTGTTTCTTTCCTTTTATTGGTTTCTTCTGATTCATCACAAGACAGCCAGTATTAACAAGTTGACTAATTTTAAGCAGCACCTGTATGAAACATATTAGAAAAGTTTTTTTAAAATCTTTTGTATGTTGTTCATGCACTCAAGTAACACCGTAATTGGTAAAGATGTTGACAGCTAAAACGGCTTAGAGGCTTATTATGGAGCTTTATTTATGTTCCAGCACCAGGGGAGAGAGAACAGAAACACTGAGCTAAACCTGGTGGAAAAAAAGGGGAAAAAGAAACTTTGAAGTCCAGAGTAGCTTTGAGGATTGATGGTCTGCCTCTGCTGTCACTCAATCTCACCTCTTCTACTTCAAAATCATTTAGCGTTTTTCTTTTCTTCTGGATACATATATGTTTTTACGTAATTAAAGAGTCAGTTGTTTTATGCTTTTGTGGTGTCCTGATCATTGATAGTCTTTTTAAAAATTTTGGCATAACTTTATGATTTCAGATACTAATATAATATGTGGTAAACGTTCTATTCAGAGTCTGAAAAATAAGACGGATTACTACTTAAATAGGTGGCACAGTGGGTAGCACTGTCGCCTCACAGCAAGAAGGTTGCTGGTTTGAGCCTTGGCTGGGTCAGTTGGCATTTCTGTGTGGAGTTTGCATGCTCTCCCTGTGTTCGCATGGGTTTCCTCCAGGTGCTCCGGTTTTCCCCACAAGTCCAAAGACATGCGTTACAGGTGAATTGGGCAAGCTAAATTGTCCATAGTGTATGTTTTTGAATGAAAGTGTATGAGTGCTTTCCAGTGATGGGTTGCAGCTGGAAGGGCATCTGCTGCGTACAACATATGCTGGATAAGTTGGAGATTCATTCCACTGTGGCAACCCCTAAACAATAAAGGGACTAAACCAAAAAGAAAATGAATGAATGAATGAACTACTTAATTAAATGCTAGTTAGTCTTAGTCATTAGACGATTTAACAAAGTCATTAGACGATCTTAACATCATGACAAGCTGATTGCTACTGCCCCGAGTTGTGTCCAAACCAAGGTTAGTACAGTTAACGAAAATAAAAAATAGAATTGAAAATCGTTTTTGTAAACTGAAAAAAAAAAAAACTAGAACTTACTGAAACTGTATTGTGTACACACAAAACTAACTGAAACGAACTAAAATTATAACTAAAACGTTCTTCGTTTTTGTCTGTGTAAATGTATTTATTACATAAGCCTACTGTAAGCCTTTTAGAAGTAAATCTATTTATTTCATGCTGCCAGGTGTTTGACTGGTACAGCACCTCAGAGTCTGTAATCCTGGTGCCATTGGCCAGATCAAGCCAGTTCCCCTCCTTAGAATTATCATGTTTCTAATCTAATTATTTAAATTTGAGGATGGGTAAATGGTAGTGGTAGATGGGTAGTGTTCTTGTGTCAAAAAAATGTAGCCTATCTTTAGTTGAGTTTTTCATCCATTCATTTTCTTTTAGGCTTAGTCCCTTTATTAATCCAGGGTCGCCACAGTGGTTAAGTTTTTATTATGCAATGTTTATTCTGATGATTTTGAATCTTGCACCTTACAAACATCCTAATTTACTCAAAAACAACAAATAAAAACTGAAACTAAATTAATAGACCCTTTTCAAGTTTCCAGGTTTCTCAGTAGCATCATAGCTGGGTAAACTTAGAGCGCAATGAGTGGGAGAGTACTCTATTTGCTGAAATATTAAACGAAAAACTTCACAATGATGTTATCAAGACTTTCAGAAAAAAACGTGAGACTGATGACGGCACCCAGAGAGAATAATGTCAAATTTACTCTCACCCCCATAGACGCTGCATTTAAAACGACTTGCATAATCAGTAATTCGTTTTTTGTAATTTGTTGCAAATATTATACACTACATTCATTAATGCATATAAATGTTCATACATTTAAAAAAAAATCTAAATATTAAAAACTTTCAAGGGTTTAAGACTATGATGACTGTTAAACGTGTCATAACAGTCTCGTGAAAAGGGTCCATAAAAAACTAAGCTAATACTAAGCAGTTAAAAAAAAAAAATAGAAATGAATAAAAGCTAGTAAATCTACCTCTAAAAACGAATTAAAATGAACTTGTATGGTTTAAAAACAAAGTCAACACAAAATGAAAACTAAACCTAATGAAAAATCTAAAACTATTCTAACCTTGGTCCAAAAATAAATTTATTAAGATTATCAGATCATTTAAACGAACTAAAATTATGCTAAAATGAAACTGAAACTAACTAAACTTATAACAAAAATGTTCTTTGTTTTCATCTTTGTAAATGTATTTATTACATAAGCCTACTGTAAGCCTTTTAGAAGTAAATCTATTTATTTTGCGCTGCCAGGTGTTTAACTGGTACAGCACCTCAGTGTCTGTAATCCTGATGCCATTGGCCAGATCAAGCCAGTTCTCCTCCATGCAGCAAAGAGCTTGGAATTATTATGTGTCTACTGTAATTATTTGAGTTTGAGTCATTAAAACGAATAAAAACTAAATTAAAACTAAGCAATTTAACAAAAATAGAAACCAATGAAAACTACTAAATCTACCTCTTAAAACAAATTAAATCTTAAATCTTAAAAATTTGAAAACAAAAAGCCAAAACGAAATAAAAACCAAAACTAATGTAAAATCCAAAACTATTATAACCTTGGTTCCAACATAGATATTTTAAGATCAAATCATTTGACGAGTAGGAAAAAATTTCTAGACAGTGTAATTTACTTGCCTAAATAGTTAAGTCTGTTTGCAAATATATTGTTCTCATAGATTTCTTAATCTATCCTTGTTGTTATTTGGGCTTCTTTTACTTTATTAAGACAGGAGAGAAAAGAAGCTACTGGAAAAAGAAGGGGGTGGATTCAGCAAATTACTCAAGCCATACTTTAACTTCAATTGCCTGCACAAATGCATCACTCCACAATGTTGGAGCACATGCAACTAAGCTTTCTTTTTACCAAAACTGATAATTAATTTTCATTTTACATGCAATACATATTGCTATCTTTAGACTAGTTCATTGTGCTTCCACGCAAAGCAAAATTGCAAAAACGTTTGACGGTGTTCATTATCATCAGAACCAGCCATTGTGGTTCTTTACCCATCATTCTAGAGTCGTGTACTTGGATGTAGGTCATAAGTAAACCCTCGCCATGTAAAGGAGCTTTAGGCCAGGTTTTCTCACCTACCCTTGAGAGCAGGGAGGGACACATTCTTTCCTGAGTGGGACATTAATGAAAGACAAACAGTGTAAATCCAGGGCTTCTAAGTAAAGCGCACATTTGGGGTCGGGTAAAGGGATCTCCCGGTTTGTCTGTCGGTGCAGGAATGCAGCAGTCGTGTTGGAGGGATTATATGCAAATGTAGGGGTGCGGGTCACAAAAAAGGTTCTGGTTTTCCAGACATAGCCTAAGTTTAAAACAGCTAGACTCTTGAGTAGAGGATTAAAAAAATAATAATAATTCTGCACATATTTAATCTGAAAGCTTTTTTTTTTTACTTTTATGATCTGTTGTGATAAGTCTGACAGCTATTTTAACTTCAAATGAACTGAAATGTTCTGATGTTTATGCAATCTTACAGTTAGGCGGTGTGAACTGGAAGTTACTGAGACTTTTAGTTCGGTATGTTTTCGTGCATCTAACTGAAACTGAATCTTGAGTAGGGGAAGGGTGGGCTTAAGAATATTTTGGTTGAAGCTGCCAACTGATATCAACATAGAAGACCTGCTACTCCAAACACGGAAGCAATTGGTCAGACTTTGATGAAAGATTATCAAAACAAACATTTCTTGTAAATAAACTAGCTTGAATAGATTCATTGTTCACCTTTAGTCTAACAATGTGTGCTAGCAAAATAAACATTGCAAATTTTGATTTCACACAGATGTATTCAAAACATGGTATTGAAATGTCGAGCTTTTTACCTGTACTCTGGCTTCTGTCAGGTCAGTTCTCAGTGCGAGTTGTTCCCGGGCGTAGACATCAGGATAGTGTGTTTTCTGAAAGACCTTCTCCAGCTCCTCCAGCTGATAGCTTGTGAAGGTGGTACGGTTGCGTCTTTTCTTGCCCTTGTTGCTCTCTCCTTCGGTTTTGTCCAGTGGAGAGGCCAGTTCTGAGGTTGCCTGCTGCGGGCTCTTCACTCCTGAATCCTTTACGCTGAGGTAGCTGCCATCCATCCCTGCTGGATCACTGTTTTGGGGCAACTCGGAATCTGTCAACCCTGTGCTGTCTTTACCTGCAGACAGGAGAAGAGGCAGAGATTGTCAATTACTTGAAAATGGAGGATTATGAAAATAATTGTAATCTCAAGCTACTTAAGCCAACATTTTATTTTTAGTAATTAATTTATTTATTTTATTGCTTCTGATGATTTCTAAGCATCAAAGCAGTAAAGGTGTAAGAAGTAAAGTGAGTTATGCCGTGGTCTAACTTTTCATTTGCCTCACCGCCTCATTTGAGGAGAGGGAGAATGATGGGGAGGTGGTTAGAGTGAATATATTTGACAAAGATAGTCGTTTTTAATTGAATATAACCTTTTTGTTTGTAAATGAATCAGATTTTAAAAAATGTAAATACTGTCACGCAACTGATAAAGAGGGCAATGCACAGGACATCAGCGAGCAAATCAGGGCAAATGCAGGTGGCAGCTTAGTGTATTCAGCATTGAACTCCATTGTGTCATTGATGGCATTGTTTATGACCAACCTTCGATTGGTCTCATGCAATTACATGTTCACAAAGCTTGAACTTTGCAATGCAGCAAACTGCGAAACTTGCAGCATGAGCTTTTGTTTCCAATTTGCCATATTTGCATGCTTATGAATGGAAGTCTAAGGGGCCGATCACACTGAAAGCGGTGCGTTTTTTAAATGTCGCTTGGCAACGACTAAATCAGCTGAGTATTGTTCGAGAGTGTTGCTGTTGAAAATTTTAATAACTAATAATATTGTAATATTCATAATTTGTGAACTCATACAGCCCTGGATAACCCAAAAAAGGCAACCTCAAGTCTCTGCTTCATCTTCGAAAATCTCCATTGTTGTCTTGACCACACAAACACTGCAGGCACCTCAACGGAAACTCCGCCTCTGCTTTCCTTTGATTGGAGAATAAAAAAGAGGAGAGTGATGTATTGCGCTTCTGTCTCTCAGAGTTGACTTTTTTTTTTTCAATTGAGAGCACACAGCCCGCAAGGGTAAAAACGCAAGGCCCAGCAGGCGGTGAAAACGTGAAGCGAGAAAGGCGCATAAGCAGCGCGCAAAACGCTCTCGGCCAGTAGTAAACCATTTAAAAGAGGCACCTCTCAACGCATAAACGCATTCGGTGTGATCGGCCCCTAAAAGTGCAGTGTGAACGTGGCTTTATTGTTAAACAGTAAAAGTGGATTCTTGTACGATTAGAAAGGGTCTATTTCACTTATTTTCCTGAGCATTTTTTTAAATCATGATTTGCAACAAAATAATTTACAAGTGTGTGATTCAGTATAGCAATATTTTATGTACACAAAACAATTCAGGCACATTTACAGCAAAAATTATTCAAATTAATAAAATAGTATTTAATGAATGAGCCATTTATTTAGCATATACTGATGATGACATCTAGACTACCTTCAAACTATAAGGATTTACCAATCTATCAGCAAATAAATCTTTTTTAAAAATCTGCATAATCTCTTGACATGGTTTACAATAACTCTAGATTTTTTATTTTTAAATAGATGTCTGTTGAAATGAATGAAATTGGAACATTTTCACCAATTATTTAAATAATTAAAAAATCTAAAATTCCAGTTTTAATATATTTTCACATTGATTTTTTGCAATTAAAATATGTAGTTAACTATATACAAATAAATTACAGGATGTAAATAAAATATGCAATTACAATATACAATACACAATTCCTTCATCATTTATTGATCTAATGTTACTTTAATAACATACTATGTTTGTTCATATTACTTGAAGATTAGGTAACGATTAAAGATCAAGCATCTAAATTGCAAAACAAATAAAAGCTACATTAATAAATACTGTATAATTGTTATTTATTGTAAAGTAACCTTTTTTTTCCAATTACCAGTGGTGGAAGAAGTACTGAAAAATCATAATCAAAAGTACCATTACTTACCCAAAAACGTAGTTCAAGTAGAGTAAAAGTATGTTTATAAAAAGTTGCCCTTTTAAAAGTACTCAAGAGTAGTGAGTATTACATTGTAAAAGGTTGAAATGTTTTCATGCAATTTGTGCTTGTTTGTGAAAACGTAAAATTCTGTAGTGCATTTAGCTCTTGTTTAATATTTGGTATTTCAGTCATCAGTAGGCATCCTTCCTCTTCTCATCATTGACAAGCAGTCTAAACTATCTCTGGGTCATTGCGTGCAAAGATCAGCTCAATATGATGTGATTTATTTCTGTATGCGATTTAGATCAGACGGGAATCACAGGACTGATTTTTATACTCGGCCCTATAAACAATAAAAAATGAAGTCGCGACTACAGGTTGAAGAAAAGTGGTGCAGTAAAAGTACCCATACAGCAGTAAATATTTACTCAAGGGGAAAGTAAAAGTTCACATTTATAAAACTACGTGAATTGCAGTTTCTGAGAAAAACTACTAATTTCATTTCATTTTCTTGTCGGCTTAGTCCCTTTATTTATCCGGGGTCGCCACAGCGGAATGAACCGCCAACTTATCCAGCAAGTTTTTTATGCAGCGGATGCCCTTCCAGCCGCCACCCATCTCTGGGAAACATCCACACACACTTTCACTCATACACTACGGACAATTAAGCCTACCCAATTCACCTGTACTGCATGGACTGTGGGGGAAACCTAAGCACCCGGAGGAAACCCACGCGAGAGCAGGGAGAACATGCAAACTCCACACAGAAAAAAAAACTACTCAATTGAAGTAATTTGAGTATTTGTAATTTGTTACTTTACACCACTGCAATTAACACAACCTTTCTGTGTGCTCTCTCCACTACTCCAAATTGATTGTACTTCATAAAAATATGCTTTCTTCAATCATAATATTGAGATTATTCTTCACTGGATCTGCACTGAGTTTACGGAGGGAGAAAGTCTGTAAGGCCTGGTGTCAGACATGCCGCAGTAACGACTGCCAGTCTCAGCTCATAAATCAGCTACTCATGTGAAACAGACACCGTGGCTGTAATTGCAGACTGATAGAAAATTACAGGTTTCCCGCCTAAGCACAGTCCGAGTGTTGCAGCCTTGCTTGATGAGCATGGCCTCAAACATATGCACAGTCTGTGGCAAGGGTGCAAAATGGAGCTTGGCTCGTAACAGGGCTACACTTGCCCAGTGACAAGACTCTAGAGTGGTAATTTTCTGCGTCAAGCCACTGGAAACACACAGCGGCTCAGCTGTGAAACCCCAGTCAGCGTGCCGGTCATAAATTCAAGTCAGATCAATGAAAGTGAGGATTCCAGTACATTAGGTCATTCCTCCAGCTCCCTCTCGGTACTCATTACCTGTCTGTATGCTGTGGAAGAGCTACCAAGAACGACTTGCTCGCTCAAATCATAATGATGGCTGCACTGGCAAACTTTGGGCTGTTTAACCTTGTTCCACTCACTTGGCTTTAAGGAGGAATAGGGTGTAAAGCTGGATTAGGGTTCCCTTGGGGGCGTTCCAGTGGCGACCCTGTGCTTAATGTCTGTCTTTAGCTCAGTGCTCGGTGATGGAAAGTTATTTTAGGGGATGCAGTGTTGAGCTGTGTTCATTTTCTAATGTGAGACTTGATTAAAGCCTTCTCGGGTTTGAGCTTGCAGGCAGATGGGTAAATGCTACTGGAACACATGCTTTTTTCAGCACCACAGGGCTCCTTACAGAACCATGTTGGGTAATGTACAGGGGTGGAGGTGGTCCTGGATATGCTGTTAGCAATATGGGGGAAAAAAACAAATTGCCAGCACTTTTAATAAGCCATTGCCCATAAAGTACTTTTTTTCATCTTTTCTAACTGGGTGCATATTAGTTTCTTACATTTTGTTTAGATCAGATCACAAATAGAGGAGGGAGACACATTCCCATTTACACCATAATCCATTCTTTTGTTCACTTTCCTGTGCCAATTATAAGATTTTCAGTCTAATATTTGACTATTTACTACAAAACCTAATTTTGCATGGGTATATTTTTGGCTATTGTACTGTATGGGTTAAATTAATCAAGTAGTCTTTTATGACACAAATTATTAAAAGAATAAGTAAAGATCATGTTCCTTGAATTTCCCAATATTTGAGTGGTTATATGCATTGCTAACAACTTTTATACTACTATATAGGCAGTTTTCTTATTATCTTTATTTATTTATTTAATTATTTATTAACCTTAGATTCCAGACTTTAAATTTGGCTGTATCACATCCAAAATTTGTCCTATTATACCAATACCTGTACCAATGGAAAGTTTATTAAACTTTCAAATAATGCATATGTCTCAATATCCAAAGATTTACACTGGTTATGACTGGTTTTGTGGTCCAGGGTCACATATTGTGTAATAAGGTTGTAAATTTACAGTTGAGCGTAAAAGGAGACAACAAAAAAACAATATAGAAACAGAACCTTTTTTCAACTCTGTTAACCGCAAGCTGTTTTAAATGCCATGCGTTTGTGCTCAGTATCAGGACTGGTAACCCCAATAAATGACTTAATAAAAATAAACAACATGATTTTCAAAGCATACTCAAGATTTTAGCTATTGAGATGTCATGTTTAAATCGTGCCTGGCTAGAGCCCTACAACAGTATTGAGGTTTAAGAATTAGGTTGGTACACTTAAAAAAAGGCTGGATTCCACACAATCGAATTGTGTTGGAACAACATGGAGTTAATTGAACATAAAATGATTAAGTTGTCCCCCCAAAAAACTAAAGAATTGTCATGTCAGCACATTTTAAATATGTAGCTTGAACAAACAGCAAGTGCCATTTTTGAGTGTAGGTAAAGACTAGATGGTCTTTTGTGGCTTTTTGAACACATTCAACCACTTCCACTAGCATCTAGACTTTGAAAGCAATTTAAGTTGAAAGCTGGACAAGCTCAAAATTTCTCATAACTCATTTACACTTGTATTTAGTGTCATCCACTTTTGATTGGCCTTAAGGTTGACCTTGACCATAAAGTAGATCACCCAACCAAAAAATCCTGCCATCAACCATTTTTGCAAACCTGAATCATAGTTTGTTGCTTCAATTTATA